AATTATATGTTTTGGAAAGTAAACATCAAAGCTCACTAAAATCTACAGTGAAGACCAGTAAAAATTAGGTTCTGAATCCCTGGAAATGTACTGAATCCCTAGAAATTTCTGAATTTCTAAGAATTGTACCAAAGGTAAATTTTAAAAACCTCAGAAATCTTAAACATAAACTGCAAGTAACTACTCAATTACCTTTAGTCTAGTTCTGGTGTGAGACTGCATTTATGAGCTCTTCATAGTACTGCTATTTTATTTTGATGTTAATCTAGCTTTTAAGTTAATGTGCTAGGAACAATAAGCTAATAGGCACTGACAAGGAACCAGAAACTAATATAAGCAGATCAGTTAAGGAAAGAAAACAAAGAGCTATCACATTGACTTATGAATCCCAAAAGTATGATTAACATTGTTCACACTGTACTTTCTCATAATGCACTGAGAAAAATTCACAGCATAAAACTAAGATTTGTTACATACTATATAAAAGCTATTAGTTGACGCAGCTAAATTCACCTTGGTAAGAGCCAATCTACTTTGTAACTACTTATAACTATTAATTTACTTTAGAGCCTTGCTATATTTACTGCATCGTTTCTGCCAAATTTCATCCAAATTGGGTCATGGCATATTCAAGAAATCAAGCCACTGGAATGTATTTTTGTATTGTCAGGCTCCCTATACTGATAAAGATTTAGTTTCTCTGAAGATATTCAGAACCATGATCATCTTCAAATACATCTCTAACCATTAAATTTAAGTAGAAACTAAGTTTAATAAAACTTTTATTATACTAATATTAATAAAACTCACGACTCCAGCCACACTGGTAAGAGTGTCATAAGGAACTGCCTTCACAACCAGAGGCCCCAGAGATGATCTGGAGCACCAACGGCTGGATCCAAAAGCAAAACTGTTCAGGCTTCCTCAGATAAAGCTTAGGAGCTTTAGAAGTGAAGCCCTGTGATTAACTGGAATAGGCATTACAAAGGAAAAGTGAGCTTCTCTTTTTCTTTCTGTTCATTTTTAACATATTTTTAACATAACTTATCCTTGAACTTTTTGGACAACTTCAAAGTACACTCTAATAAAAATGTTACAGACCATATCTGTGCAAAGCCAGATGATCTGTGACTCTGAGGTGAGAAACAGGGAAGATTTAATGTTTTTGTTACTGTCGTAATTAAAATACAGGCTTTGGAAGTTAACATTTTCTTAGAAATAACACAAGTATATTTTATCCTTATCTAATATACAGTGATTATTACTAAATAAGCATTGTATGCACACAATTTGGCCAAATATGGAAACTTTTCTGTGACATGAATTTACTTCAGTCTAATTCCTGTTTAGACAAATCCTGATTTGACATGCAATCAACTTAAAAAACTCTAGTCACTGGAGGGAGGGTTATTAAGAAATTTTATGTTTAAAATTTATTTTATCACCAAATTAAATATAATTTTTCTACTTATTTGGTAACGCAAATTTTAAAAACTCTTATTTAGAAACCGAGTATCAATAATATGACATCATGTAAAAGAAGATTAAACTTAATTCTTGACAATATTAGAAACTATAAGGCAAATTACTTCATTATTTTGTACTCCTGACAAGATATGTCAATCAAAGATGGAATCAAACAAATTTATAGCATTTACGTGTAAATTAGTAGATCCATGTTCTGGAATTCAAGGGTGTTTCATGTAACCAACTACTAAAGATACATAGATGGTATAATTTAAAATACTGTATACTGTGTACAAAGGATAGATGTTGAAAAAATTAAAAAGCAATTTATCATTACATATTTTAGTATAAACTGAGAAAACCGTGAGATTTTTCTTTTCCAGAAATTTTTCTTTCACTCAGTGCAATAGCAAAGTTATCTTGAAAAGGAGAAATTTTGAATACAAAAATGCTCTACATTATAACTTAATCAGTTGAAAGTTACAATCTGATAAAAGTATAATTTTCAACATTCAAGTAACCTTTGAAACATAGTTTTATTACATCAATAAATTTGTCAACGTTTTAGGAAACCAACCCAACAATGAAGGACTACAACTTCTGTAAGTAAGGTTCTTTTGCTTATTTAAAAAAAAAAATTGTTAAGGGCTTCTTTATGCTTCATAAAATGGGATAAATCTGAAAGACTGAGTTACGTCTACTTGTACAGCCATTACACAATACACAATAACTTACACAATAACCAGGCATCTAAGGAATATCACTACATTTATGAGCAAATGGAGGAAACATATTCTCTAGCTCTGAGAATTACATTACATATTGTGTGTATAACAGATAGGATACCAGAGAACAAAACAAAACAACAAAAAAAGTATTTTTGAACCACCAAAATTCATTAGGGAAGCTAAAGAAAAGACATATTCTTCAGGCAAGCAGGAGAGTTGGCTCTCATTTTGATGCAGATATGCTTGACTGAATGGTCCTCTGGCATGATGCATAGAAAAAAAAATCAATGCTACCACCCATTGGCAAAAACAGAGATTTCATCCAAACTATTAGCATCTTGTAATCTAGAGATGGCCTAAGTCTAGATTTTGTCTATAAAAAATAGCCCTTTAAACAGACTTTTTTTTTTTTAATTAAAGAGGTCCTAAAGTAGGTTCCTCTCCCAACTACTAGAGACCTACGTTTTAATTTATAAAAAAAAAAAATCAATGAATGGGGTACCTTTTTTCCAAACCATTCAATACCTACTAAAATTAAGTAGAGTTAAAGCAGTAAAAACTTGTAAGATTTCAGATGTACACATTAGGGGATCATTCAATTTAATATTTTCCCCTTAAAAAAACTCAGAATTTCTGTGAATCTTGCTGGAAACGATTTAATTTCTCTGGATTATTGGATGCCATTTGGGAAAAATCACGAAAAATATCCTGGTAGGTTTCATCACCTGCATGAAAGTAAAATAAGGACACTTTTAAAATGTATATAATGAAAGTATTAATAAACATTCATTTTTATGGCTAACAATTATAATTAGTCATATTCAAATTTTGCTCAGATGAACACTTTTGGAAGAAAAAAGACTAACATATATAAATGCTGAAAAAGCATATAGTGAAAGAAAAAAAAAAGCTATACCTGAAAAAAGCACCTCAGATGCAGCCACAGAGGAAAGCTCAGAGTTAGAAAAGAGCAAAGATGCAAGAATTTTAAAGCAATGTAAAGAAATACATTTATTTACACAGAAATTAAAGTCATTCTAAATGAGGTATAGTAAACAAGGCATTCTTTAAATAAGTATTTCCCTTGATCAAGGCCAAAAGAAAAGACCAATAACAAATACTAATGCTTCTGATGGATGCAAGTTATTAATAAGACAAACTGATAATCAGGTGAGGAAAAAGTCTATTTTAATATTATCTTTTAGTTAAAAGGCATTTTAATTTAAATAGCATGTGAAAAAGAAATTCTTTACTCAAACTTGAATGCTGAACTAAAATTAATGTACCTAATCCACTGCTTACTGAGCTTATAAAATAATAAAGCCTAGAAAATTACTATATAAAGTCAGTTTCACATTTAGTCAGAAGTTTTTTGTTTACTGTAGGTCATATGAGCAAAAGTGCTATGACAAAACAGGAACAGATACAAAAGATGTCTGTTAAATTAGAGTAATGCACATATGTATATACATACAAATATGCTTGTAGAGAAGATTATAGATACTGATACTAGATCAGACTGAATACTGTTTTTCTTTCCCTCATAAGAAACTAAATACATGAATACGTAAAGATTAATTCCTCAGATAAAGCATTTGTATAAAGTAAAATCTTATTTTAAAGATGAATCTTTCATCATGAATACTTCCTGTCAAACATTAGCTTTACAGGGCTTAGCATAGTTCTGTTTTCAAAATTTAAACCATCAAATACTGCTTTAAATGATTACTGCTGCAACAGGGTTTTATAATTATTTCCCCTAAGATATCTTGCATCCATCTTAGTACAAACTCATTGCTACAGCTGTTAATAGTGCAGTAAGTTTTGTCAGCTTTTAATAAGCGAGATTTTTGAGGCAATAGGTGTCATACCAAAAGCTAGAGAATCGGAAAAAAGTTGGGGGAGGGGAATAAAGATCTAGTAAAAAGGTCTAACAGCATAACCCAAAAATTTTCAATAAAAAATTTTTAATACTTTTAATATTTAGTCACATTTAGTATTTAGTCTATGTAAAAAGCAAGTTATTAAAATCTCTATATAGTTTCCATTTAGTCCTGGAAATGTTCTCATGACCTGAATCAGTCTACTTTAAAAAGAAAAAATACAGTAAGAAGAAAATCTTAATAGGTTGGCTAAGAGTAGCATCTAACTCATATTATGTTATTAAAACAATAAAAATAAAATTTGATACACTAGAACAACTGTTAGGACAATCCAATTACACCCATGATTTCTTAAAAGTTAAACTCTCACATTAAAAGACAAACTGCAAATCTATTCCCATTTTTAGCCATTCTAAAAGATATAAAATAAACTGAGAAGAGACCAACATTAAAAATCAATTAACCATACAAAATATTTAAAAATTCTTATCTTAGATGTTGAATTAAAATATTTAAAATATTTATTGTAAACATTAGAAATATTTTTAAAATACTATTTAAACTTGAGAGTCTGGAATTTTACTTTCCAAGGAAGTGTAAAGTGCAGATTATAATACAAAAATAACACACTGATTTTACCATTCAACACCAGAAGTAACTTAAAAGGCACACATTATACATTCAAGAAGAAATAGGAAGAAATCTAGCAGACGCTAATGCCAAATAGTTTACAGATAGCACCAGATGAGCATTCTTAAGTATTACAACAGTACAATGGCAATATATGGCTTCTACTATTAGCAATGCATATTCTGTATAACAAACTGTAGGTTTTTTTTTTCTTTTTGTGGTTTTCCAGCTTTTGTTCTTAAATCACCTAGTACCTATTATACAAGTACGTTTTAGTAGAACCATTGTACCATGCAAAACAAATTATAAGATCTTTTATTCACTGAATTAAATGCTTCCTTGAAGGAAAGTGTTGGTGCTACACTAATCATTGGTTTCACGAATACATTTTAAGAGTTAATACAATACAAAAGGAAGTCTCACCTTCACACACACACAAAACTTCCTGTTAACGTTCAGTTTCTAACAAAACATTAATTAATGGACTATCAATAAAATACCTTTCTTAGGTCTCAAAATGTATTATCAAAAAGCAAACATTACAATAACAATAGTGACTAAGATATTTAATATCATTAACATAAATTGAACTTCAATGTGATTCTTTAAAATTTAAGTATAATTTTAATCATTAAGAATTTTTCCCAAGGCAAATATAACTTGTCTACACTACAATACATAAACAATAACCCAGAATATGCTGCCCTGGAAAGTTCACAGAAGTACATTTAACAGTTTATTATAAATGGTAAGCAACTAATCACCCAGTATTTGTAACGCTACATTATATCCTTTAAATTACTTAATCACATTGTATTTCTCTCCCAATAGTTAACTTTTCTATATGCCCAGACAGTGCTGGGTTTTTAAAATGTGCACTGCTATATGTCCACTGATAGTTTAAAATAGTTTTTGATTTTTGGTATTCAGAATATCCATTGCAACAGCAATTATGATGATCCAAGGTTTTGTTAATTTTGCCCTTAAAATGCACTCCCCTCAAAGAGATGGCAGCACATGACACCCCACCTTCAGGTGATCAAGTATATGATCCCACCCTTTCTGGGTTGATTACAGCTTCCTTTGAAAACTGATCAGTGATCAACCATTGCCAGCAACCTAGTCACATAACCAGTAGTGGTTCTGTAAAGCAAGAACTTTCAGCTGGCTGAGAAACTCTGCCAACAATCAAGAGGAGTCACAGAGCCAGATACTGTGGGAACCACCAAAGTGGTTTCCAACAACTGAGAGCAGGGCGTGGTATTTCACTCACTCACCCAGTCCTCTTTAGAGTTGTAGGAACTGATAAAGAGGGATACATCCTCCCTTCAAGAAATGTGTGCTACTATAGCGCCTGGCAAAAAAACAGGGAGTTTCAGGGTTGTAGATAAAAGGTTCAGAAGTGGGGTTTCTCAGAAATAAGTCCATGATTTCCAAAGATTGTATCTGAGACTTTTAAGTGATAGGGCTCTTCATTATCAAAGATTGAAAATACCTGCATTTTAAAATTACCCACAATTCTGAGGTATTGCTAGGGAACAACAACAAAAAAGGATCTAGATAAAACAATCAACCAAAATTAATGAGAGAAAAAGAGCAGTGACAAGTAGAGGGAAAGAAAAACCTACTGCCTGAGCAAACATTTCTGCTCTCCAAAGACTCATGAAGAAAAAGAAAAGTAGCCAGAGAGCAACTGCTGTGCCATTTCACCACATCTGTATAAGTATATAAAATTGTTCTGCTTTACATGAGACCCCATAAATGCATTAAAAATATATTATCAAGATTATCCTCTCATTTTATTCTGCTGATACACCATCTCCAGAATTCTGATCTGTTTTTAACCTCTAAACTAAAATTTGAGAGTGCCAGAAAAAAAAAATTTTTTTAAGTGAGGCTTTTTTGTTCAAATTTTCAGTCAAATAAATTGGAAAAATTCATTTTTCTACTGAGGAAAGGAAAGTGTTTACTCATAAACATACATAAAATGACAGTGAGAGACATTTGAGCACTCCTAAATGGTGGCAGCAGAAGCAATCTGGGTGGAACTAGAAGTCACAAGAATATGGAGGCCCTGTCCTTTCAAGCTTCCCAACTCCAAAGGAAAATCGACCACTGACCTTAAGACTAATCAGTTGGGTATAACTTCATTAGCAAATAGCTTAAGGAAAGAACAGCTGACCAAACATTTAAGTTTAAAAGTTCAGGAATAAGAATTATTTAACTTAAAATCCTGAAGTTCAATCTTAACCTCACAAATATCAGGTCATATTCTTTGAATAATTTTTATTTTTAAAGTGCTTAAACACAAAGGCCTCAAAAATGGCCTAGTAATACTCTCACTTAAGTATATTCTGTTACAAAATTATAACTTATTTAAAATCTAACATTCAAGTTTAAAACAAATGGGTGAAATTCAGAATTAACGCTGACACTTCACCCTTAATCAGCACTCTTACATCTTGGTACACCGTGAGTCAGCAGTATTGTTTGATCCATAGGATTAAAATGGGACACCCTAGATTAGAAGCTACTAGCTGAAGTGCCTCTAGTCTCAAAGTTCTTACTTATTCCCTCTTAAACTAGACCAACAATAAGTAGTAGATATAGTCCTCTGAGAAAAGAATGGCCCCATATTTATATTAATTATATATTAATCCAGTTAAAGTAAAAGTTAATGGCTAAAGCTAGCATAAAATACTGAAATTTCAAAACATATTTAAACAGGAAGAATAGATGATATTACTAAGCCCCTTTAAAAATAATATATTAATATTCATTTTTAAAAAATCAAATATACTTATTGAAACTAATATTCTCAATTATTTTGGTCATGAATTCCTGGAATTTTTTACTAATATGTATATGAATTTCAAACAAACAAATTAGTAATTCATATACTCAAATTCATGAGACTGGAGATCCAATTATTAATCTTTTCTTTGTGAAGAATGTCTAATTAGGATATGTTCCTTAAAAAAAAGGAATCTGATTAGCAACATTCGTCCTTTTCCTGACTTCTTGACGCAAAGGTGAAAATTACTCAAAATGAGACGTGAGTTGATCCTGAGTTGAGGTTTCTCTAACAAGCTACTCTGCCATCAGGTTCATGAAATACTGTATTAAATACTTACATTTATCCAAAAGATACTGTATGATCGCTGGGGGCAAAACTACGATAAAGTGAAACCTTTTCTTTATACCTTTTAAACTAACTCCATTCTCTTTATGGACTTATTAAACCACTCCTAAATTTTATTTTTAAACCTACAACTTATTTTTAGATCAGATTATGCAACTCCTCATTCAGTAAACTTTTTCTAGGTATTTGCCATACTGCCTTTTTATATGCCAAACACATGGTGATTTGGTTTTTTTCCCTGAACACAATTTATAGAAATTCCCTGAATAACAAAAAGAAAACAACTCTGTTATATTCATTTGACAGCTAAAGAGAATTCCAAAATGAAAATGACTATTGTGCTGCTGTAAAGATACAAAGATAGGTTATCATTCCATTCAAGTCACTGGAATGTATATGGAAGACATCTGTACAGCAGTAAAGAAGTCAGCAGCCAAAGTTGAACACAGCAAGTAAATGTGTACTGTAGTAGGAATAGTTACGGAGTTTTAAAGGCTCAGGAGTTAGCTCCCAAGAATTCAGTAGGTACAATACATAACAACTCACAATTTACAAGTAAGTTATACAAAATACTCTAGGGTATTAAGTCAGTTTGCTAAAGAACTACGAATCTTCCAATTGTAAACTAATAAATTCCTGAATGCATTTCTTATACTGCATTTCAGTATGGTTATTAGTAGAATATTGACCTGGCTGTCCATAAAGTCCTTCTGATTCCCGCATCTCTTCATTCATTCTTGCTAAACGTAACCTAAAATTAAAGGAAAGGATTTTTAGATGAAGTTACATAATATAGATATTCATAAACTAGTAAATTATGTAAGCAGATAAAAACATATACTGTTATCATTTTTTCTTCCATTCCCCAGTATTTGCCACTAAAATAGATGGAGTTTTAGTTTTAGCTTTCTACATACAATTCTCATGAGAGAAGACAAGAAAAGATTTATTTTTCACAACCCCAAGATCAAGAGTTGCATGCTCTACTGACTGAGTTAGCTAGGCGCCCTGACAATAACAGCTTCCTAACTAGTACATTTCAGCTCTGTTTAAGCAGGATCCTTGTAGCACGGCCAGTAGCTTACTTCCTCCAGACTCCGGAGACTCCCTGGCTTCCACAGCAACCTGCCACACTTACACTGCCAACTGCTGGAAGTGTTGCTTCTATGGTATGGAATGTTGTATTATACCATATAAGTTCATTCTGGTTCATCCTGAGCTGAGGTAGTTCAAGACATATAAATAGCATGTGTTATGTCTAAATAGTGGAAATACATTTTGATGTATTAAATGACCACAGGCTGCCAAGATTTTCCCAAGGTTTCTATTTGGTTATACATTCTTCTTTGGGTTATTCATCCTGGCAGCAGGAAGACATACAGCATTGGATTAAGAAGACACGAATTTCCTCCCATTTTCTTACTAACTTCAAGCAACATTTTGAGAGAGGCAAATGATGCCTTTGGTGTACCTCTCCCCCTCTGTACTATTTATACTATTTGTCTGTGCTTTGGACCACCAAATACTCACTGCCCAATGAGAGCTCTATCACTGTCTACTGACATGCACTCTGGCATCTGCGGCATCTGCCGTGAGCTTTCCCTCTCTTCAGAATACTACCATTTCATTCTCTTCCATCGCTTCACAACCATTGTGTGAGTTAATAGCGCTGCAAGTCCTCTTTGATATTTGGACTTTTCAGAGAGGACTCTTATTTTCAAAAATTAAGTGAAACTGAAGTCCTCACACAAAGTAAAATGAGAAAAGTTAGACAATTTGGGAACAGATATTTTTGAAAAGGGACTATTTTTTTTTTTTTAATTTACTTATTTATTGGAGAAAGAGAGCAAGTGTGGGGCTTGATCTCATGACCCTGAGATCATGACCTGAGCCAAAAACAAGGGTCAGATGCTTAACTAACTGCGCCACCTAGGGGCCCCAAAGGGGGCTATTATTAAAAGAATTTCTTTCTCTATACTATCTCTATCTTTTCTTTATATAATAACTTATCTTTATCTAATGGTGAATCTATAATTTTTTTTTATTTTATTTATTTGACAGACAGAGATCACAAATAGGCAGTGAGGCAGGCAGAGAGAGGAGGAAGCAGGCACCCTGCTGAGCAGAGAGCCTGATGCGGGGCTAGATCCCAGGACCCTGAGATCATGACCTGAGCTGAAGGCAGAGGCTTGAACCCACTGAGCCACCCAGGCGCCCCAGAATCTATAATGTTTTAAAAGTTCTAAATTTTCCTACAACAGCCTCCAAAGTTACAATAACCTCTCCAGTGAGGAAAGAACACTGAGTGCAGAGAAAGCATGTTTTACTGTTTTACTGTGTGTCTTAATTTGGCAGGGGCCAGGAGGAGCGATATATGATAACTCAAGAATTCTCAGTGGCAGCTCAGTTGTTTAAGGCAGTCGGGGGAGTCTCTCTTTATAAGTGACTGAGATTCAGTAATGTGAATGAAACTACCTCTACCCATATAACGGGATCAACAATTCACTCAACCCAGAACAGAATGAGTAAGTGACTTCATACAACATATTTCCTACATTAATAATAAAGTGCAGGTGACAACCACATTTCTAGGTTCAGTGTAAACAAACAACTTTGATCTAAGATGCAAATCAAATTAAGGTCTCAAAACTCTTTAACAGATCATATTCAATCATATTCAAACATTAAAAACAAGTATTTTGGGACTATTTGCTCCAGCTCTTTGAAGAATACCAGTGGAATTTTGATTGGAATGGCATTAGAAGTATAGATTGCTCTAGGCAGTATAGACATTTTAACAATGTTTATTCTTCCGATCCAAGAGCACGGAATGGTCTTCCATCTTTTTGTGTCTTCTTCAATTTCTTTCATGCGTGTTCTGTAGTTCCTCAAGTACAGATCCTTTACCTCTTTGGTTAGGTTTATTCCCAGGTATCTTACGGTTCTTGGTGCTATAGTAAATGGAATCAATTCTCTAATTTCCCTTTCTGTATTTTCATTGTTAGTGTATAAGAAAGCCACTGATTTCTGTACACTGACTTTGTATCTTGCCACGTTACTGAATTGCTGTATGAGTTCTAGTAGTTTGGGGGTGAAGTCTTTTGGGTTTTCCATATAAAGAATCATGTCATCTTCGAAGAGAGAGAAATTGACTTCTTCATTGCCAATTTGGATACCTTTTATTTCTCTTTGTTGTCTGATTGCTGTTGCTACGACTTCTAATACTATGTTGAACAAGAGTGGTGAGAGTGGGCATCCTTATCGTGTTCCTGATCTCAATGGGAAGGTTGCAAGCTTTTTCCCATTGAGGATGATATTTGCTGTGGGTTTTTCATAGATAGATTTGATGAAGTTCAGGAATGTTCCCTCTATCCCTATACTTTGAAGCGTTTTAATCAGGAATGGATGCTGAATTTTGTCAAATGCTTTTTCTGCATCAATTGAGAGGACCATGTGGTTCTTCTCTCTTTTCTTATTAATTTGTTCTATCACATTGATTGATTTGCGAATGCTGAACCATCCTTGTAACCCAGGAATGAATCCCACCTGGTCATAGTGGATAATCTTTTTAATGAGCAAATAATCCAAAAATTTGTATGGAACCAGAAGAGACCCCGAATCGCTAAGGAAATGTGAAAAACAAAAATAAAACTGAGGGCATCACGTTACCTGATTTCAACCTTTACTACAAAGCTGTGATCACCAAGACAGCATGGTACTGGCATAAAAACAGACTCATAAACCAGTAGAACAGAGTAGAGAGCCCAGATATGGACCCTCAACTCTATGGTCAGTTAATCCTTGACAAAACAGGAAAAAATAGACAGTGGAAAAAAGACAGTCTCTTCAATAAATGGTTCTGGGAAAACTGGGCAGTTATATGTAGAAGAATGAAACTTGACCATTCTCTTACACCGTACACAAAGATAAACTCAAAATGGATAAAAGACCTCAATGTGAGACAGGAATCCATCAGAATCCTAGAGGAGAACATAGGCAGTAATCTCTTCGATATCAGCCACAGCAACTTCTTTCAAGATATGTCTCCAAAGGCAAAGGAAACAAAAGCCAAAACAAACTTTTGGGACTTCATCAAAATCAAAAGCTTTTGCACAGCAAAGGTAACAGTCAAGAAAACAAAGAGGCAACCCACAGAATGGGAGAAGATATTTGCAAATGACAGTACAGACAAAAGATTGATATCCAGGATCTATAAAGAACTCTTCAAACTCAACACACACAAAACAGATAATCATATCAAAAAATGGGCAGAAGATATGAACAGACACTTCTCCAATGAAGACATACAAATGGCTATCAGACACATGAAAAAATGTTCATCATCACTAGCCATCAGGGAGATTCAAATTAAAACCACATTGAGATATCACCTTACACCAGTTAGAATGGCCAAAATTAGCAAGACAGGAAACAACATGTGTTGGAGGGGATGTGGAGAAAGGGGAACCCTCTTACACTGTTGGTGGGAATGCAAGTTGGTGCAGCCTCTTGGGAGAACAGTGTGGAGATTCCTCAAGAAATTAAAAATAGAACTTCCTTATAACCCTGCAATTGCACTACTGGGTATTTACCCCAAAGATACAGATGGAGTGAAAAAAAAGGGCCATCTGTACCCCAATGTTTATAGCAGCAATGGCCACGGTTGCCAAACTGTGGAAAGAACCAAGATGCTCTTCAACAGATGAATGGATAAGGAAGATGTGGTCCATATACACTATGGAGTATTATGCCTCCATCAGAAAGGATGAATACCCAACTTTTGTAGCAACATGGATGGGACTGGAAGAGATTATGCTGAGTGAAATAAGTCAAGCAGAGAGAGTCAATTATCCTATGGTTTCACTTATTTGTGGAGCATAACAAATAGCATGGAGGACATGGGGAGTTAGGAGAAGGGAGTTGGGGGAAATTGGAAGGGGAGGTGAACAATGAGAGACTATGGACTCTGAAAAACAATCTGAAGGGTTTGAAGAGGAGCGGGGGTGGGAGGTTGGGGGAACAAGGTGGTGGGTATTAGAGAGGGCACGGATTGCATGGAGCACTGGGTGTGGTACAAAAACAATGAATACTGTTATGCTGAAAATAAATTAAAAAAAAATGATTAAAAAAAAAACCAAGTATTTTTATCTTAAAATAGAATATTTGTGTGAATAGTTCCTTAAAAAAAATAAGCACAAACAGATCCTAAGTATCACTGCCCAAAGGCAATGCAGCTGCAAAAGTGACTGACATCAACACAGCTGTCCCCCATACTTACAATCCTCGAACTTCTGAGGTAAAATAAATGTAGATTCCTGAGCAGAGTAACTGCCTGTTACTACCAATCCAACCCCCACCCTAGTACTGTAGTGAGAATTAAAGATCCATTTTAGAGAAGCCACTGGTTTTGTGTTCTAACTGGTCAGGCAGTATAAAAGAAGTGGTTAAGAACATGGGTTTTGGAGCCAAAATTCTTAATTCCAAATCCCCACTCCACCTGTCATCAGTTTCTTAAATTATCTGTGGCATGGCTTCCTTATAAAATGAGGCTAATAACAATAGTATCTTCCTCATAGGGTCGTTGTGAGAACCAAATAAGTTCATGTGTGTAAAGTGCTTAATATGTTTATATGTGTCTAGAGAAGTTCATGGCACACAGTAAACAATCAAGTTTATAGTTCACACCTATGCATGAAACTATGTTAAAACCCTGTACAAGTAACACACTGTATGAGAAATAATCAAGTAGAAAGAAAACACTTACAAAGTCACTATATCAGCATTGGCTGCTTCCACAGCGATAGTCAAAGGGTCTTTCCCTTCTTCATCGGTGGCATGCTGATTGGCACCTCGTTTTAGAAATAAACATACCTGCCTGTTTAAGGAAAGAGCATTTTTGAGACATTGCCAATAAGAAAAAAAAAATAGTATTCACCTTAATAAAAAACACTACCTAAAGAAATAACATTTTCATTAGGAAATTCTTGACTCATTCTACACCTATTAATTGAACACTGGCTCTAATAATATAAATTTACCATCATCAGCATTTTACAAATCTCTAGATGTTTTTACACTTAACTTGTAGTACAATGGGATGTATAAATTATGGTCCCTACCCTCAAATAATATCAGAAAAAGATGTACACATATATCCATAAACTTAAAACAGAAATCATTCAAGGTCAAATCAGTCAAGGCAATGTTAACATCATACCAATGATAATTCAACAGCAAAGAGTGGAAGGTAATCCTCCCACTGGACTCCACAAATATTCATAACTTGAAGAAATTAACAAAAATGAAAAAAAAATATGATAGGATGAGTAAATGAGTCTATTAAGTAAAATGGGAAGAGTGGCTGTTTAAGAAAAAAAATATAAAAATATGGGGCTCTTGGGTGGCTCAGTCGTTACGCGTCTGCCTTCGGCTCGAGTCATGATCCCAAGGTCCTGGGATCAAGTCCCCCATTGGGCTCCCTGCTCAGTGGGGAAGCCTGCTTCTCCCTCTCCCACTCCCCCTGCTTGTATTCTCTCTCTCATTTTCTCTCTCTCTAATGAATAAATAAAATCTTAAAAAAAAAAAACAAAAATAGGGACACCTGGGTAGCTCAGTTGGTTAAGCATCTGCCTTCAGCTCAGATCATGATCCCAGGGTCCTGGGATCGAGTCCCACATCAGGCTCCTTGCTCAGTGGGGAGCCTGCTTCTCTCGTTGCCTCTGCCTGTCACTCTGCCTGCTTGTGTGTACTCTCTCTCTCTCTCTGACAAATAGATAAATAAAATCTTTAAAAAAAAAATACAAAAATAAATACGAACATTTTTAAGTATACAAAAGTTTTTATGATTAAGTTATTGAACTCAGTTTCTGCTGGCTAAGTTATGATAAAAATAGAAAATGCTTTAAAAAAATAGGTGTTTTGGGGTGCCTGGGTGGCTCAGTGGGTTAAGTCTCTGCCTTCGGCCCAGGTCATGATCAAGCCCCGCATCTGGCTCTCTGCTCAGCAGGGAGCCTGCTTCCCCATCTCTCTCTGCCTGCCTCCCTGCCTACTTGTGATCTCTCTCTCTCTCTCAAATAAATAAATAAAATTTAAAAAAAATAGATGTTTTAAATAAAGTCAAAAAAGAACAGCATCTTGATTTTTGGGTACTAAGAATAGGATACCTGAGATATTTTATTTTTTTAATTTATTTATTTTTATTTATTAGAGACAGAGTGAGAGCAAGAGATATCACACAGGGAGAGGGAGAAGCAGATTTCCCGCTGAGCAGGGAGCCTGATGTGGGACTCGATCCCAGGAACCCGAGATCATGACCCAAGCTGAAGGCAGACGCTCAACTGCCTGAGCCACCCAGGGACCCCAAGATATTTTATTTAAAAACAATCACGTATGACACAAACTTTTCATTTAAGGCCAACATTTCTACTTCATTTGTACCTTCTATTAGAAAATCCATTTTCATGCCTTTATTGTTCTATGAATCTAAATATTGCTTCAGACACCTCAATGGCAATAGCACAGACTAAGAATTTACTTTAAAATTAGACTTTAGCTACCCTGTGGGAAAACTCAAATGTACAAAATTACAAAACTCTCCCCAAATGCATGTGCTTTGCACAAAATGTATGTGAACATGCATTTATACAAATACAGACTTAGCTGCTGACAAAAGCACCATAATTTTAGTAACAGTTCTAAATACTAAAACTGATCTATATAAATGGCAAGTAAAGTTCAAAAAAGGCTTTGCAACTGTCTTATCTGAAAAGTAAGTAACCGAAGCTTTTTTCTGCATGAGATTTTTAAAATCTGAAATTCCATAATGACAACAGAAGTCATTGGAAAGTATCATTTTATAAACTCTATCCAATGGCCTTCACCTGCAAACAAACAAAATATATTTTATATATATTTATTTATAAAATATATTTATATATGAATATATACATATATAATATATAACAAGCAATATATTATTCAAAATAATTTTTCAAATAAAATCTACTTAAATATGTAAGCACGACAGTTTACCCTGTGTGTCCCAAGACAGTGGCATGGTGCAGTGGGCCCCGCCCCTGCACATCTCTCTGGTTCACGTTAGCACCATTCTGTAGGAGAAACTCGCAGGTCACCAAAGAACCCTTGAAGGAAAACAGAAGATAACAATGTACAAAAAGCAAACAATAATAGGTTTTATTAAAAACAGGTATTTACTCTGATAACCTTTCTGTTCTTTTCCCCCAAAGAAAAAATACTCCCCAGTAAAAGCAGAAAAATGATCAATTATATTATTTTCTTCCCAAGAAGGACTTCAACAGGAATTCAACTTGCAGTTTGTGATCTAGCAAAAGACGCTACGTTCATCACCAGAATTCTCTTCCATTGAGAAAAAAATGAATTTACATAACCAAAGTGATGCTCAGAAATCACTACCAGCTTTTCCTTCTACTTTCCAACCCATCTCTTAAAGCAAAGAATAATGTTAAGGCTATGTTCACAATGAATTATAATTTTTTATGTTTTTACAATGCATTAATTCATACCCCTAATACGGCCTGAATAAGTGGTGTTGCTTTATTTTCCTCTGAATTAGCCCAGTTCACATCTGCACCATGAGCCAGAGCCTCAGCCATTTTAGGAAGATTTTTTTCATATGAAGCCCTATAAAGCTGGAGTCCGGGGTTAAAATGTTTAGAGTCGAGAAACACAGAAGAATCTTGCCTTTCTCCCTCTGAAAAGCAAACACAAATACATCAATAAAAATGAGCAGGGCGGGCGAGAATGATTTCTCATTTCTGAAGTACAGGGTTTCAGTTGGTAAGAGGAAGAGAGCTCTGTGGCTGGATCGTGGTGACAGCAGCACGAGAGTCAATGGCACACAACTCTCCATTTGAAGATGGTAAATTCTGGGGTGCCTGGGTGGCTCAGTGGGTTAAGCCTCTGCCTTCGGCTCAGGTCATGATCTCAGGGTCCTGGGATCGAGCCCCGCATCGAGCCCCACATTGAGCCCCACATCGAGCCCCACATCGAGCCCCACATCGAGCCGCACATCGAGCCTGCATCTGGCTCTCTGCTCAGCAGGGAGCCTGCTTCCTCCTCTCTCTGCCTACTTGTGATCTCTGTCTGTCAAATAAATAAATAAAATCTTAAAAAAAAAAAAAAGAAGATGGTAAATTTTATGTTATGTATATCTTATCACAATTTAAAAAATAAAAATGAACTCTTAACAACGTGCCACAATGTAAAAGATGTAAAAGAAACCACTAATTCAGGGCGCCTGGGTGGCTCAGTGGGTTAAAGCCTCTGCCTTCAGCTCAGGTCGTGATCCCAGAGTCCTGGGATCGAGCCCCACATTGGGCTCTCCGCTTGCCAGGGAGCCTGCTTCCTCCTCTCTCTCTGCCTACTTGTGATCTGTCAAATAAATAAATAAATAAAATCTTTAAAAAAAAAAAAAAAGAAAAAGAAAAAGAAAAAGAAACCACTAATTCAACAAAACGAGTGAATGGGAGAGTTTCACAAAACTATGTTATTTCCAACAGACTCCTCACTCCTCAAACAGTCAAACATCTTCTCTTATAAAGATGTCGACAGGTATGCTAGACATTTGTGGTCCTGCCAGGATTCAATGGGAGGTTAATTACTCTGTACTAGATTAAAATTAGGTATATTCCTATATGACTGGATTTATGGACTCACAAGAGCTCGTAAAAAAATTCCTAAAGAATTTTACTACTAGACCAAGCCTTACTTTATTCCTAGGATGATCCAGCACCACCACAATTTACAGTACAAGCAATTCAAGTAATTCAAAAAAATGCTTACTACCCTGGGTATTCTGCAAGATCAAAATCATGGAAATCAAGAAGGAGAGAATATAGGAAGAAAGCACAGGTCAGAGAAAAATATAATGCAGAGACAGTTGCTAATCTCTTTCTCCCAATAAAACAGCCATAAAAAAGATAAACAGTAATAAGACATAGTTCATGTGGATTAAAAAGTATCCTTAGTGACTGACTAAGCATTTTTAGGATGTACAATGAGGCTTAGAAGAATATACACCTAGAAGAGAACTTCCAAATATGAAAAGAAATAGCTGCTTTCTCATTTAACAACACTTTCTAAAAGGCTAACCACTTTCTTTAGAAATTATTTAATCAAGACTAAACACAAAACTCATGCATTTTTCAGCAAGCAATACCAACTGACATTGAATTTCACCAAAACTCACCAGTCTCATATAAACTATTGGCAGACACTGTGGAGGGTAAAGATTCTCTTCCATCATCAGAGCTCTGCTGGATTCCACTATCATTACTTTTGACTGTTTTAAAGAAAAATCAGCTAGTGATTAAAGTTCAAGCCATTCAGAAAACAATCTACCACAAACAACAAGGTTTTAAAATGAGCTCTGATACGTCAACATGAACTTAACCACCATCACATTTAACACAATTTTAACCCTTTTGAACATTTAGCTTATCAAAATATGAATCAATCACAAAGCCTGAAAATAAACTCTTCAGAGTCGCAACACATCGCATTACCCCATAATATGACAGGCATGGGGAAGAGCTTAATTTATTGTATGACGCAAGTAATATGTAATTCTGAGACAATGGGTAACATCCAGAGAAATGGCCACACCGCACAATGACCACTGGCACAGACTTGGAATGCTCCACAAGAGTAGTACTTACTACTACGCAGTTTTGAAGAAGTATCAAAGTAGGAGAAGAGTGAATCTAGCTCATCAGGACAGAACAGAGACTCCCGCCTGGCCTCGTCGCTATTTACAGCAACCACTGGGGACATGCAAGTTAGCAAAGCACAAAGCAGGCCATAAGAAGGGAAAAGGGCAGGAAAAAACGTTACTGGGAAAGATTTAGGAGGAAAAAATAGGAAGGAGATTAGGTGGTTAATCAGATATTTAGGGCTTGTTGCCATGATAGATTTATAATCCCCATCTCCCCTTGCCTTTTAAGCAGTTTTATTCCTTAGAATATACACATTACCTAAAAATGTGAATTACCAGATGTTATTTAATTTTAACTGTTTTAAAGCGATAGAAATACAATTTTTCCTTAGACTATGTAGAAGGAAACAAGTTTTTGGCATTCAAATAATCTACAATGGCTACTAATTCAGAAATTAAGAAAGCGACTTCAGTTTCAGAAAATATTTCTACTCATAACAGGTAAGCTATAATACCTGAACTTTGGGGAGGTACTCTGACTTGGTCACTGGGCCCAAGTTTAGAAATGCTCAGCCTCTTCTCTTCAGAACTTTTGGAGACAGTCTTTTTTTCCTGCTCAGGAGGTGATGATGACATAGAATATTTATCCACAAATTTCCTCTCCACGTATTTTGCTTTGATATATGCCTCTTTCTCCTGTCTGGTATATATAAAAATGTCATGATGTTCTGCTTCATCTCTTAGTATGGCTAACACTGAAAAGAAGCCATTACATACCAAATATTTCCCAAAAAGTCACTAAATGTATTACCGGTTAAAACTAAATTTGTGATATTATGCAACATATTTCCCTTCTAAATATTTAATAAACTAGGATCTCATGTTCAAATAAAATACAAGTAATAAACTAATTGAAAAATCACAAGTATTAACATTGCACTCTCTTACTCTCTTAATTTCTGGGCTCATTCATTTCCACACATATTCCCTTGTGTTTATTACAAAATGGAAAACATTACCAAGAAAACTATAAAAATTTATAGAAATTAACTTTAATTTCATTTTACTTCAATAGACAACATCAACAGATCTACTATCACTATTGTCAGTCATAATTTTCCCTAAGACAACTACTTTAAAGCAATATAGCAGTTCTAATTAAAGGGAAAGAAAAAATTTCACATTTTAAACTTTTCTGATACAATCAGAAAATGCCAAGTCTATTCTATACTTTTTCCTATTCATATCCTTTCAAAATAGTTAAATCTTTGGTTAAAATCAAAAAATATTTCAAGGTCTGAGATAATTTGGCCATGCGTTAGCAAATAATCTCACTTAAGTGATAACAGTTCAGACAGCAATAACTTTAAAATAATATTGATTATACACAGGGGCACCTGGGTGGCTCAGTCAGTTAAACATCTGCCTTTGGCTCAGGTCATGATCCTGGGGTTCTGAGATTCAGGCCAGTGTCAGGCTTCCTGTTCAGCAGGGAGCCTGCTTTTCCCTCTCCCTCTGCCCTTCTTCCCTGCTTGTGCATGCGCTCTCTCTCAAATGAATAAATCTTTAAATAGGATTATGGCACATAGGATTATGGCAAAAAAAAATTTAAGGTTAAAAATAAAGAATCATAAAGACTAAAAGCAACATCAACAATAAAAACAAATTATGTACCTTGAGGGCACTCCTAGCCACTTCATTCTATGAGCCTCAACATATAGAATTGGAAGTATTAATTTCAAACACACAATTAAGCATTCCCCCCTACCCGAAGTTACCCTTTCACCTTTAATTATTTAACATCATAACGCCATGTACCGAGTATATGATTAATAGATATATACATATATAGATCTAGATACATATATTATTTTTTTTTAATGAGAGAGAGAGAGCATGACCTTGGTGGGGAGGGGGGCCAAGTAAGAGGAAGAGAATCTTAAGCAAACTCCATGACCAGTGCAGAGCCATAAGCAGGGCTAGATCCCTGACCCCCGAGACCACGACCTGAGCTGAAATCAAGAGTTGGACACTCAACCGACTAAGCCACCCAGGCACCCCTTAACAGATATTTATTGAACAAAGTCAAACAATGTGAAACTATTCATTCATTGTTGATAATAGAAAGTTGATCCTGAGAAACATTAATAAACAGATTTCTCTTTATAAAGGCCAATAACAGAATTGATATACTTTAACTGCTAAGGGCTTTTATATTCTATGTAGAGACTTTCAATATTTAAAATTCTCATCTGAAGCCCACAGTTGATTATCTAATCAATAAAAAATAATTATCTAAGATGTACCCAAGAAAGAGAAAGCCATATTTTAACAGTCTCTTCTAAACAGTCTGTCTCAATATTACATATCAATTATAGTGAAATAAAATCATAGTTATATTCCTGCTTATGAAAAAAAAAAGCATGGAGACAACTGAAATAGTACCTTTGCCCCGGTTGTGGTTTCTTTATTCCCATTTTTTCCACTTTAGCTTCATAAACTCGATTTATAACATCATTTCCCAACTCACACATAAGCTGTTTTGGCAGGAAAATAGAAAAATAAGCTACAAATTCCTAAAAATACTATAAAAGTCCTTAAAACAAGTACAATTAACTCATTCCTTTTGCATATCCCGCCAATGTGAGCATCATCCCACAAAGACATTTAAAGTTAAAACAAATTAAGACAAGGACTAAGAGCAATATCCTCATTTTGCCATTAACAGAATTTCTCCCCCTGGAAGACCACCACTCTTACAAGAAAGGGTTTCTCCTGACTCACCTTCCCTCAACTATGGCTAGTACAATGCTGCATATTATTCACAATGCTTGGTAAATCAAATGAAAAAAGGCCAAACAGGTTAAGTTTTAAAATACAAATAAACTACTTTCTCCTTACATATAAGAATTTCAAAATACTTTAAAACTTGTGGTTATATATAATGTACCAGACTGTGTTTCAACCAAATTTTAAAAATTGAATCTATTAAGTTTATAGCTATAAAACTGATGCCAAAAAATTAGGTTTCTACCTCTCATCCCCCACTTTCTTCTTTTGAATTCATAACAGTTCATAGAAACTATCTTAATAGGGCTCTACCGTAGGAGCCAATTTATCATTTTCATCCAGATGTTTACACAGTAATTCCACAAAGCAAATGTTTTACTTTACATAATTGAGAGGATTACCAGTTTATCTATGGATTGAAATAAAAATATAAGTACATTAAGAACACAATTTCACACAGAAATAAATGCAGAGTATATTATAATCTTTAAACTAATATATATATATTTTTATAATATGGTAAACTAAATGGTGGGAATTAAAAAGAATATATTATTAAACAATATGAGTTTTATTTATCAGAAACCTAACTGTGGTCTAAATGATTTATGATATTTTCATAGATATGAATTTGTGCACAAAGCTTCATCCTTACACAAGATGAAAGGATGTCTTAGTTTGATGCCTACTACCTTCAGAAATCTAAATCTGCAAATGGTCCTATGCTAAAAGGGCCCAATGATAACAACATGCTATACCAATCCACTCTGGAGCACACTCATATCTCTGTTATACTTTTAACAAATAAAAGATAAAAATTAAGACACAGAATTGAAGGTTTTTTTGAGAAAACATAAAAATGTAGGAAAACAGTTTTCCTTAAAAGGTGAAGTGACTTGCAATTAAAAGTGCTACATAAACTTAGCAATTTAAAAACCCAATAATGAAAACACCAGATTTACCAAATAGCCTCAGATGTGTTCCAATAAATTTAGTTTATTGTTAGCATTGAGACACTCATACATTTTATAAATCAAGATTCTAAAATCCTGATCGTTTATGTGGAAATCTGAACTATTTTTAAACAAGTATGTATATTACCTTTAAAAGCTCAGGCTCCCATGTGTCTAAAGTTAAAGATCGTACTTTTGAAAAATGAACTCCAAGACTCCTAGAGGGAAAAAAGACTGTATTAATATATAAAGCTATCAAGTCTCTATTTGCATATTATTCTAATTATTTCTCTTTTAATGGAACATAGTTGCTAACACAGCCCTCAGTGTGTATGGAAATAAGGAGGGCTCTTCTGACTAATAATAAATAGTAAAACAAAGTCCTCTAAGGCATTCCACAAAGCAGAATTTTATTCACTGTACAAAAGTTATGAAGATACAAATGGCAGTCACATTAAGGCAAGTGGAAAAGTTCCTGTAACCAATGGGACATGATAATTTACTATGTGTATTTATCCCAAGTCTGTCACCCTATACAGGCCTACCTACCGGTGAATCCCAGAACACTCGATACACAGGGTGATGCCCAGGTTGATGCTGGCCCACCGTGGATCTGCCAGACCACAGTCACAACAGCTGGCATTGCCAGGAATACACTGGACTCGCTGCAGTGCACTTTCTCCTTTCAATAATTTATCTTTTGACTCATTTCCAGAATCTAGGCTTCCTGTGGATGGAGATGATTTCTTATCCAGCTTCTAAAAGAATAAAGAATTATTTGTTTAAAAGAAAAAAAAAAAAAGACTGCAATACTATGCTACACATTACCTGCTCCAAACAAAAGCTTCCAATCAATAAACTGAAGGCTTATGATGGGCCTAAGCCAGGCACTGTTGTAGGCATTACAAATAAGGATAAAAAGGTATAGATTCCTCCATCAACTGGCATTTAGTCTTGTCAGAAGAAACATAAATGTTGGAAATGATATCTATATTTATGTACATAAATATATATTTACATTTAATTTATATTTAATACAAACATGTTTACATATAATAAATGCATAATGAACACATGTATAAGATATGAGGGTGGAGAGAAAGGGAAACACTTATTTAACAAGCAATATCAAGACAGATGAAATAAACATTTCATAAATGTTTATTAAGACATTTAAACTATTAAGACTCAAGAATAAAATTAATATTATTATTTGATACCAAGTTTTTCCGAAGTATTCAATGAACTGCAAGCAAATTGTTTTGATTACTGCAGTGAATAACTAGAAATGGTATGGCTTTACTAAATAATAAATCAATTATATAATTATATTTCCAGCAAGACAAGTGAGAGACTAAGGAAGGAGAAGAAAGCACTAGTGTGAGGTGCCAGAGCCCGAGTAGGGGCAGTAGGCAGGAAAAAAGGATGTTCGTTACATACAGGGGGACTGAGCATATAAGTAAACATGATAAAAATAAAAGGGAGCCATTTATTTATATGGAAAGGGAGAGAATTAAAACAAAACCCTGTTGTGTGTGCTTATAACTGGAGATACAAGAGACACACTAATGGTTTTCAATATAAACATAAAGATAAACATATGTAAACATGTCTATGTGTAAATGCATACATATATTCCTTCATTGGTTTCTAAAAGCCATTCACCAGCAAAAGGAACTAGGGCTCTTTGGAAAAACTGCTGATCTTAGCACTGATGCAGAGAAAGTGCAAGATGAACCCAGAATATCTCATCATGCTAGAAAGTAAGGAGGAACTCAGATTGATGGGAACATGTCAAAAGGATACAGAAGCCGGGGTTCCACTGGACACACTTGGGTCAATTTTTTTAAAGAATTTATTTATTTGAGAGAGAGGGAGCACACAAGCATGGTGGGGGTTGGGGGGAGACAGAGGGAGAGGGAGAAGCCCAATGTGGCACTCGATCCCAGGACCCTGGGATCCTGGGATCATGACCTGAGCCAGAGGCAGATGCTTAACTGACTAAGCCACCCAGGCGCCCAAACCTGGGTCAATTTGAACAGCAAAACAATGATAGTAATGGATTATAACACATTGAATAAAACAGTGGTCTATACTGACATAATTAAATAACATTTAAAGCCTGATGAGGAACAGAATATTCACATAGTCTCAAAGTACCTCTCTTACAAAATACTTATTATCTACAAAGGAACTATTATAGTACAAAAGTCTAGCAAACACCACCTTCATCAAGCAATCAAAGTTAACATCACCAATAATGAGACAAATCAAAGTTATGTGCCGCCTGAGTATGCACTTAGAAGAACACAACATCATTTATACAACATACCTGCCAAAGATGCATAACCTTGAGAGTAAAGATCAAACTCACAATGAAGGACATTCCATAAAATAACTCATTAGCTTCAAAACTATCAAGGTCAAGAAGGTCAAAGTAAGACTGAGAGACTATTCCTGAGGAAAGGAAACTAAGGAGCCGTGGCATCTAATGTTACCTGTGCTTCTCGACTGGATCTTACAGCTCTGAAGCATATTACTGGGACAACTGTGAAACTTAAAGATGTTTGGGAACTAAAATGTAGCCATGTATCAATGCTCATTTCCTGATTATGATGGCAGCACTGTGGTTTTATGAGAGAAATGTCCTAGAGTGTGGTAAGTAACACTTAAACAAGTCGGGCATTATGCTAGAAACTTACCCTGAAACAGTTTGTGGTGGCGGGGGCAGTTATTTGTACAATACTTGGAACTTGTCTGTAAATTTGATACGATTCAAAATTTTTAAAAACTGTTTTACTAGAGTATGTTCAATAATGTGAATTACCTCATAAGCAATTATCAGATAGGAAAAAGATGTCAATATAATACAGAAATCTTGTTGGGTCATTCCCAGTTTATAGAAACTAATGTTTTTGCACCAAATTAAAGAAGCTGAAAGCAAAGTATACTACTACACAGCAGAACCTGGGCTAGCTGCCTCCGGGAACAAAGGAATAAATATGACACTCATTCCTTCCATTCTTTTTGGCTCATTTTGGCTATGTGCTTGGACTCAAAAGTGTGTGCTGCATTCATTCTCTCTGATCTTTACGTGTTTTGCCTTTGTCACCATAACTGAGTAGCCTCAACCCTTCCAAACCCTTCCATTATGCTATCTTCATCAATTTTTAAAGTTAAGTCCTATTATGCAGTAGTATTCATTTATTACTAATTTAACTCTTCTAGTATTTTTACTGAGACTCTAAAATTCCTGCAAGTATTCTAGTTACAAACTCACATGGTTTTTCAGGACAGCCCTATCCCTATTTTTTCTGTAATCCCTATTATTTCTAGTGTATGATTTTTCATAACCGGTATTTCAGCAATGCTACCAGCTTCTTCATCAAGATGATCTGGATGCAAACGTAATTTTGTTCCCTCACAAAACCTTGTTAAAAACCAGAAAAAAATTATTAGAAGGCATTATCCTGAGCTTTTATTGGACAAAGCTGTGATAAATAATCTGAACATAAAAAAAAAAATACTGATGTTGAACGTCTTTTCATGTATGTGTTGGCCATCTGTATGTCTTCTTTGGAAAAATGTCTATTCAGGTCCTCTGCCCATTTTTAATCAGATTATTTGTGGGGGTTTTAGTGTTGGGTTGTATAAGTTCTTTGTATCTTTTAGATCTTCACCCCTTATTGGACATATCTTTTACAAATAGCTTCTCTCATTCAGCAGGTTGCTTTTCTATTTTATTGATGATTTCCTTCACTGTGCAAAGGCTTTTCATTTTGATGTATTCCCAGTAGTTACTGCTTTTCTTCTCCTTGCCTTAGGAGATATATCTAGAAAAATGTTACTGTGGCCAATGTCAAAGATATTGTTGCTTATGTTCTCTTAGGAGTTTAATGATTTCAGGTATTACATTTAGATCTTTAATCCATTTTGAGTTTGTTTATGTGTGTGGTGTTAGAAAGTGGTCCAGTTTCTTTCTCTTTGCACGTGCTGTCCAGTTTTCCCAATACCATTTATTGAAGAGACTGCCTTTTCCCCATTGTATATGTTTGCCTCCTTTGTCATAGATTAACTGGCCACAGAAGTGTAGATTTATCTCTGGGGCTCTATATTCTGTTCCATTGATGTGTCTATTTTTGTGCCAGTACCATTCAGCTTTGTAGTGTATCTTCAAATGTGGAATTGTGATACCTGCAGCTTTGTTCTTCTTTCACAAGATTGCTTTGGCTATTCAGGATCTTTTATGGTTCCATACAAATTTTAGCACTATTTGTTCTAGTTCCATGAAAAATGCTGTTGACATTTTGACAGGGATTGTACTAAATTTGTAGATTGCTTTGGGTATTATGAACATTTTAACAATATTAATTCTTCTAATCCATGAGCATGAAATAGCTTTCCATTTATCTGACTTCTCTTCAATTTCTTTCATCAGTATTTTATAGCTTTCAGAGTATAGGGCCTTCTTGATTAAGTTTATTCCTGAATATTTTATTCCTTTTGGTACAATTGTAAATGGAATTGTTTTCTCAATTTCTTTCTGCTACTTCATTGTTAGTGTATAGAAACACAACTAATTTCTGGGTACTTTTTATCCTCCAATTTTACTAAATTCATCTATTACTTCTAGTAGTTTTTTGGTGACATCTTTAGGGCTTTCTATGTATAGTATCACATCATCTGCAAAGAGTAACAGTTTAACTTTTTCCTTACCAATACGGATGCCTCATCAGGGAAGTGAAAATCAAAACCACAATGAGGTATCACCTTACACCTGTCAGAATGGCTAAAATAAAAAAGACAAGAAATAACAAGTGTTGGTAAGGATGTGGAGAAAAAAGACTGCTTGTATATGGTTGGTGGGAATGTAAACTGGTGTAGCCACTCTGAAAAACAGTATGGAGGTTCCTCAAAAAATTAAAAATAGAAATACTACATGACCTGGGGCGCCTGGGTGGCTCAGTGGGTTAAGCCGCTGCCTTCAGCTCAGGTCATGATCTCAGGGTCCTGGGATCGAGTCCCGCATCAGGCTCTCTGCTCAGCAGGGAGCCTGCTTCTCTCTCTCTCTCTCTCTGCCTGCCTCTCTGTCTACTTGTGATCTCTCTGTCAAATAAATAAATAAAATCTTAAAAAAAAAAAAAAGAAAGAAATACTACATGACCTAATAATTCCACTACTGGCTATTTACCCCAAAGAAATAAAAACGTTAATTCAAGAAGATATATGCAGCCCTGTTTACTAAAGTATTATTTACAACAGCCAAGATATGGAAGCAATCCAAGGATCTATCAATAGATGAATGGATAAAGAAGATATGTATGTGTACACACACACACACACACACACACACACACACACACACAGAGGAATATTATGAGGCCACAAAAAGGGATGAGATCATACCATTTGTAACAGCATGGATGAACCCAAAGGGTATTATACTAGGGTGAAATAAATCAGACGAAGAAAGACAAATACTGTATGATTTCACATATATGTAGAATCTAAGAAACAAAATAAATTAATAAAAATACAAACAAAAAGCAGAAATAGACCTATAGAGAACAAACTAATGGATGCCAGAGAGGAGTGAGTCGGGGAAATGGGCAAAATGGGAAAGGGAGTGGTAGATAAAGGCTTCCAGTTATGGAATGAGTAAATCACAGAGATAAAAGGTATAGCACAGATAATAGAGTTAATGGTATTGTAGTAACACTGTATGGTGAATATGGTGAGCACAGGGTAATGGATAGAGTTGTTGAATCACTGTGTTCTATACCTAAACTAATACAACACTGTGTGTCAACCATACTCAAATAATTTTGTAAAAATGAGTAATTACGGTAATTAATTGGGACCTATTGTACCTACAAAAATCCATGAGTTTATAACAATAACCAAAAAATTAGATATCTGTCCTCCTTGAGGTAGCTAATAAGGTAACCAAATGTGGTAATTAAAAGAAAAAAATCAAGCACTTTATTACACTAACTAGCTCCAGCTGATAAACAAAAGCTATATTAATGTAGGATTCAAGTTAATCAATATAGATGGGATGACAGAATTAGAGAACCAGCATTTCGCAATTCCTAATGAAATCACAAATTCATCTGTAAAACCATTAGATGAATGGTTGGAGGGGGATTAGATCTTACGGGATCAAAATAACACAAAATAGAGTTACTATACAAAGTAACAAAGTAGACTGGGAAAATGGGAGAAAATGTAACTTTACAGTGGAGGAATCATATTGTCATCTTTCTAATCCAATGTGGCTACCTTATCTTCACACAGAAGCCTTACAGCATTAGCAATGAATGACTGGATAACCAAGTACTCAGTGTCTCCTGTTGCAACGTGAAGTATACATACCACCTACGATGGAATTGTATCAGTTGAAATTCTATAGGATAACTAACTTTATCTCTTCAGTAAGTCACTGTCATTAAAAGAAGGCCTTGCTCTAGACTGAAAGACTGAGAGACATAACAAGCAGATGCAATGCCCAGTCATACACAAGATGCTACTTTATAAATAGGTGGCAGAAGACATTTTTAGGACAACTGGGGACTCCTGAATATAGACAGGGTAATAGATGATATTAAAAAATTACTATTAGGCATGAAATGAGATGATGACTATAATCTACTTAGAAAGCTCTTGTGGGGATTTTTTAGTTTTTTTTTTTTTAAGGCATTTACTCACAAAAATAGGGAAAACAGAAAAGCAAATAACAGCAACAAAATTTTGAAAGCTGGAAGATGGTTCGATGAATAATAACTAAGTATACCAAGGCCAAATCTTACTATGGAAGTAAGTAAAAATCGGAGTTCATGAATTTACATTACATGATACTCAAAGGGCTCAAGGATTTATACCAGTTAACCGTAGAAGTGGGAACCAAAGTGGGAGAAATGACTGTGGAAAGAACAGGTAGATCCCAAAGTGCCTTCCCCAATTCCATGCCATTTTGGGACTGCTTCCACACATAAACACAAATAACTAGAATTTTATTTTATACTCTGAGGAAGTAAAACAGGGTCTGTGGATAGGATTTACCTGAAAGTGGAAGGCAGTAGATTAAATGAACATATACACACTGAATACTGAGATCCCTGGCAACTAGTTCCCAGCAGACCCTTACCCCTCTGCAGGAGACTGATGTCGAGACTTCTCTGGAAATCATACCAGCTAAAAAGATTCCAAAGAACCTAACTCTCTTGTTGTTCCTCAACAAATCATCCACACTTCAGAGAGGCACATAGTCAACAAAGTCCTAACTATGTTCTTGAGAGTGTCCAAACAGGCTTTTAGTCCTTAACTTGTAATCAGAACAGATTACCAGATAGCCAAGAAAAACCTCTTGACTCAACAATTCTCAACATTGCCTGTATATGGAAATCACCCAGGAAGCTTTTCAAATATTGATTCCTGAGGGATGCCTAGGTGGCTCAATGGGTTAAGCCTCTGCCTTCGGCTCGGGTCATGATCCAGCGTCCTGGGATCAAGCTCCACATTGCGCTCTCTGCTCAGCAGGGAGCCTGCTTCCCCTCTCTCTCTGCCTCTCTGCCTACTTGTGATCTCTCTCTGTCAAATAAATAAATAAAATATTAAAATATATATATATATATTTTCCTGGATCCCAACTCCATTTAATTACTCTAGGGTAGGACCTATGTATGTATTAGGATTTTTTTTTTAATCCCTGTGTTATCGTCACATGCAGCCAAGTTTAAAAACCACAGCTCTAACGCTGTATCCATGAAGAAAGAACAGGTTTACATGTATAAACATTCAGCAAACAAAAAGAAACTCCTGGAAATTTAATATGTGTTAACAAAACTAAAGTACTCAATAGAAGGTTTGGGAGATTAACTGAGAAAATCTCAGAGAAAGCAGAGCAAAAACACATAAAAAATTTAAAAATCATAAAATCAGTCCAGAAATTCCAGAAAAAGAAAACAGGAAAATTGGAGAGGAGCAATACAAAAAAAGGTCAGTAGTAAGAAAGACTCCAACAGCAATGATAAAACTAAACAATGTTGTTAAATTCTTAAGAATTATTATTTCCAATCTAGAAACTCCAACCCAATCAAACCATCAAACAAATGTGAGGATAAAGACATCTTCAAACATGCACAGACTCACAAATGCCTCATTTTCAAGAAGTTACTAGAGGAATTATTAAGTTCCATTTCTCAAAGCTTACTAATGGCCTTGCTCAAAAGTCTGTAAAATCACTGCGAAGCTGAACCCAGGCTATGACGCAAGACTCCACATTCAATTCATCTTATCCTATCCAGGGAGATTTTAACCAGACACAATTTGAACTTTCCTTTTTTGATTTTTACTAATTACTAGTCTTTTATTTTTTTTACTGATTTTTATTAATGAGAATATATAACATATTTTGGGAAAAATACTTACATTAGAATACCTAATGATAGTCTAGGATATATATTCAAATACTGAATTAAACATATATTAAAATAATAAAGAGAAATAAATTGAATCTAGATTTTCATAGTAAAACCTCTTTCATTTACAAAATTCATCATTCATTAAAAAATGGTATGATCACATAATGTTGAAATTAAAATTAAGAACTTTTGGCAATGTATCATTTTGTATTACAATATTGTTTACTAACCTCTGATTCATCACCCTTCTCTCTATAAGCAGTAGCAATACTGGTCTGAACAGCCTTAATCCATGCCTGGCGCAGCTTTTCAGAATCTGCCTGAAGCATACAACTTCTAAAAGGAAATAACATTGTTTTCTCAGACACTAAGTTAACCCCCCTCCAAATAATAACAAGGTTTACTTTGCTATTTAATAATTTTCTAATAAAAAGCAATTTCTTTTGAAATGTTTTATTTCAACTATCTTTAGGACATAGTATGTTCATGAAGAAGTCAATAGAAATGAAATAAATTGCCTATTAGGAAAAAATCACAAATCCCTGACCATTTAAATTTTTTTTAAATTTACCAAATATAACACTAATTTTTTCTATTGGGTAGAAATATAAAATGATAGTTATCAGAGAAATTGATCTGATATATGACATCAGTTCATAATCAAGACAGCTAAGAAGTTTTCATATGGCCACATCAATAATCTTTATAGAATTTAAAGAAAATGATATTGGGTAGAAGTTACATAAATATCTCACTGTAATACTTATAATCATTAATTATTAAATTTACTGTTAAAGCACTTTTTTCCTTCTCTACCATAATCACAAGTAAAACACAAATGTTTCTATATCCTGAAAAGTTCTTTAAAATAAATGATAGAAACTTAAAAGCAACTCTCATTCTTTAGAACCACTTACTTTGTTGGAGAGACTACTTCAAAGCAGAAGCGTCGTTCTATATCTTCACAGTGTTTCACTGTGCAGAGCCTGAGATCTTCCACTACCACAGTGGGGTTATCCTACAATAAGGAAACAAAACTCTCATGTTTATCAACTTAGTTTTTAAATACTACTGCCAATACCAAGAATAACATACTTTAAAATATCACTTGGAATAAATGGTCTAATTTTAAAGATTTATATTTATCTTATTTAGGATTAGAGATAGGAGTTATCAACTCTTATATAGATATAATAAAGGTAACTGTGTCCTGTTCATAATTTTATCTGTCTCATAAAATGGCTGTACAAGGATTAAATGAAAGTATATGTAAAGAGCTTAGTCTAACACTTGGCAATTAATTAATAGGTGCTCAATAAACATTAGCTTCCTACTAACTTTAATTTTCTTCCATTTTCTTTCACATCCATTACTCTCCTGGTTACCGCACACACACATACACATATATAATAAAAGCTACTTTCCTCTAAAAAAGAAACCTTTAATAGTCAAGTTTTAAATAACAACAACAAAAATAAGCTTATCTATTCTTCTTAAAATACCTTAAAAAATGAGGACGCTTCTATCATTTTTCTAGTAATTAATAAAAATATAAACTCAAAACCAAGTTTATCAGAGCAGAAGAAACCATGAACTGAGTTAGATCAAAGGACTTGTGTGGAATAAGCCTGTTAGCACAGAAACAAGCAAATAAAACTTCAGATTTATTTCAAGAGCAAAGTAAGCATTTGAAATGAACAGCTGAGGGGCACGTGGGTGGCTCAGTGGGTTAAGCATCTGTTTTCAGATTGACTGAGGTCCTGATCAGGCTCAGCGAAGCCCCTGCTTCTCCCTCTCCTCCTACCTCCTGCTCTCTCTTACTATCTCTGTCACTATCTTTGTCTCTCCCTCAAATAAAATATTTTTAAATAAATAAATAAGTAAATGTACAGTTGACTACGTCATTCACAAAGACTAAGTAAAAATCATCTATTGACTAAGGGGTTTTTTCCCTAATTATTTTTAACATTCTCAGGTGCCATGTAATCATGGTATGTCTTTCCGATAAATAAAAATTCCTCAACCTTAAAATAAGGTTCAGGAGAAGAGACGTATAAAAACAGCATTAACATATTTAGAGGTTTCTATTTAAATTACTTCAAGCTTAAATTTTACTGTCATATTTCACATTTCCATATTATCACCTTTGCCCTATGTGATGTTTCTCAAAAGGCACCCTTTCCTTCAGTCTCAAAATATACTGTGGAAAAAAAAAAAACAAAAAAAAATACTGTGGAATGGTAGTATTGTTCCTGTCACACACTGGTCAAATAAAATAAAGAAATGAAAGTAATAATCCTGGGACACAGAAACACCTGTCTTAAAACCAGGAGTTAAGAATTCAGGATTCAAAATCACTCTGCTTATTTTAAGAATCAAAAGTTAATACTTTCCACTTTTGAGTCCTCTTATACATGCCTAAGCATAAAATTAATAAAATAATTTTGCATACATGAGCATTTAAAGACTTCAGTGCTTTATCAAGATAAACAGAGAACTGAAATGGGGGACTCACTGGGTTTTCACTTAATTAACAAAATACCTACCTTAAACTTTTTCTGGTAAACCAACTGATTGTTCTGTATTGAAAACCAGCGTCTAAATAAATAAAAACAGATTAAGTTTTCATAGACATAATTTAGGTCAGTTGTTAGAAATGAAATATTTGGGAAAGCACTAGAAAATCAGTTTATAATAATTATGTTTTGAGAAGTACACTGTTCTGTTTCATTTTATATGGACTAATGTCAATGAGATAACTACTGAAAGTAAACAATAATTTTAAACAGTTTTAAAACAACAGACTAGGAAAATAAAGTTATTGTATTTTGATTCATCTTCCGTCAGAAATTTATATCCTAACAACAGCTGTTATCCTTTACACTATCACCAAATAATTATAAAAAAGTAAAAATTAGTTTTTTGAGGTTACTCAAAAATAACTAAAAATCTTTCCCCCAAAATAATTGCTTCTATTATAAAGTAGAAATAAACTTATGTTTTAAAAGACGATCCATTTGTATACAGCAAAACACTGAACTAAATGATGCTTTGTCTACAACCTTTCCACAGCTAATTCAGCAAGTGTTTGATTTGTTAAGCAAAACAGGAAATTATTTTAGAACTGATATCAAATAAGAGATAATCGCCAATTCACTTGACTTCACTTTAATATAAAATACTTCTAAGCAGAATAAAAGTTATTACTAAAAATGATTCACCTAACTATTTATTTTGTTCTGCTTGTTCTTGTAAATTATTAGGCAAACAATTTACTTGCAATCTGTTTTAGAAGAAAAAGCTAACCTATGTATGGCATATTTACTAATTCTTATTTATTAAAACAGTAAAAGAAGCTAAAGACTTACAAAAAAAAAAATTAACAGCCAAAAGCCATTCATAAAAAGAAGCAAAAATTCTCATCAAGCATGAAAGGTAAAACTATTTCAGTCATTATTTTAAAATTAGTTTCATGTGAGATGATTTCTATTGTAAACATTAGTTATTAATCTATTAGCAGATAGAGATTCTACCTTTTCATTGACACTAATAAAAAGCACTAGAAAATGTATTTAGACATACTTAGATTTCTATTTTAAAAAATTAAGTTAATTCTCCAAAGCTGTGAAAATGATTAGATGCTTTTCTGTTTTAAGCTAGACAGACTGTTAGGTTTTCTTGCTACTTCAAAAGGTTATCACCTTTACCATTAAAATAAAGATCTGTTAAATAAGCATCTAGATAAAACCAAGTGACTTGCCTCTAATACAAATCATCAAGAGGAAGGCTAGAAAAGGAAGAACTTCTGGGTTTCTTTGCTTTGGGACACATAGTTGGTTAGAAATGTTAAAGGATATATCTATGAACAAACAAAATGGTGCAGCCCTGCCACATGGGATGACATGCAATGGAAATAATCTCTGATATTGATCGAAATGGTTTTTTTAAAATCATTTGAAGTAGAGTGAACTTGATAACCCAACTCTTATGTTTTACAGTATAGTAGTCATACATAATTCTATGAAAAACTATAGTTTTATTGCACAATAGAAAACACCCACATAACCATGTAAACTTTTTGTGCTTCCGAGATCTTTAAAAAATAAATTTCTATTGAATTGCTGCATCTTAGGATAATAACCTCGAAAAATAAGAACAAAACACCACATTAAAAAAAATTTTTTTTTTTTTTTGTCAGAGAGCATTTCCTCTGATTATTAACTTTATAGATCATATACGTTTCTGAAACCCAGGTTCCCTACCATCTATCTGCTTCTGGTGACTCTCTCACATCATCACTTTTTTGTACATTCAGGGAAGACACTATAAATTCATCTTAATTTTGACAAAATTTCCTAAGGAAGAAAATCATAATAAATCCTATACAGAAAAAAATTTTTCGATTACTAAAATCTACATATTGTATGACACTGTCTCCCCTCCTCTGCCATTAAAAAAAAAAAAAAAAGAGTCAACTACACTCATTTACATTGATCAAAACTTTAATTGGGTGAGTAAGATGAGTAAAATGGAAAGTAATTTTTAAACTGCTCCTATGGGATAATACTAGTTATTATTAACGTTTCTAATAAAAGGAAAAAATGAGACAGTTCATAGCCTATGATGTATAGGATAAGTTACTTATTTCACGCTCACGCTACCTGTATTTTGGAGCTACTTTAAAAAACAATAAGGGCAACTGGCTGGCTCAGGGTAGCCAGAGGAGGAGTGTGCAGCTATCCATCTTGGGGTCATGAATTCAAGTCCCACGTAACGTGTAGAGATTACTTAAATGAACTTTAAAAAACATTTTTTAAGATAATTAAATAATCAAAAAGACCAACTTTAGAAAGCACTGAGCTGATTACTACACTATATCCTACAAAATTCAGAAACTGACCACAAAGCCAAAATTTAAGACTGTTTTTTAAACAGCAAAATTTCTTGGTTCATTAAGAAAAATAATACACCACTTCAGATCTATCCCAAAGTGAAATAACTCAATAAAGATTTTAGGCCAAAATACTAAATTCATAAACAGTTAGATATTATTGATATTTAAATACCTATGAGAGCTTCAGAATAACAAAATATGGCGGGAGTAAAGGAAAAAAATGTATTAAAAAAATAAATCAAGTGTCTTTTTCCATTTGATAATCATTAGTCCTAGAACTGCACTTGAAACCAAAAATAAAATGTAAAAGTCAAACTTCTAAATCTTAGATTTCGCACTAAAACTATAAAAATGAAATTCATATATGTGCCAAGTAGGTGAACATTTAATAAAATTAAAAGCTTCAGCATGTACACTACTATCTTTCAAATTCAATTAAATTTGTCCCAAGAAAAAAGACCAAAATATTAAAAAAAAAAAAAACACCTCTAGGAATTGACAATTTTTATTTTCAATAAAACTAACATGATTATTAGCAAAGGTGCTAATTCCTAGTTACTGTTTAAAATTTTGAAGTGTTTACTGGCTTATCTTCTTCAAAAAAAAAAAAGATACAAAGGCATTCATATTACTTACTCATCTACATCTTTGAGTTACTATAAATATATCAAATTAAAATATATCAATTAAAATTGATATATTAAAATATATCAATTAAAACATATTGAGGCAATTCGCAATGAAAAGATAATTCCATTCTTCAAATGAAATATGTATATTTTCTTTCCAATTTAAAACATGAGACATTATATCCATTGCAAGTAATCCAAATGAAATGCAGGTTAATTATGAGCTTTCTCGTGCCAAAGAGGAAACTGGAGTAAGGCAGAAATGAGGGGAAGGAAGCCATTTGGTACCTGATATGATCGGGCTTTTTCCTGTCATGTGAAAAAATGGGGCAGATTAAAACATAAAGGAAAGGTGGTAAAAGAATGAAAACGCAAATGTGCAAAATAAGCAAAGGACTAGCATGATATGAAAATAAAGCAAGAATTAAAGAAACAAGCTTAAGCTCAAACCTAACAAAAGAGTCAAAAATATCTGTTGTATTTTGCTCTCAAATATATACATGTATGCATTTACACAACTCTAACTCTTAGGAATCTGAAATGCTAATATTTTAGAAATATTCAAAAATGTTCTTCAATTATTATGCTATAAAAAGTTCTGGTAGGACTTGGCACACTTGGGCATACCTCTACTATTATTTTCTCCCTCTATAGTGATAGCTATAAAATAAAGTACTTCTCATTTTAATAAGTTGCTCCTAAAAAATTAAGGGAAATAATCACTATAGATATATCTTCATAAACCTGAAACAAATGAAACTCTTCATAAGAAAAGTAGGATCACTAATTAAGAATTTCAAAGATTATAAAATATTATTAGGCAAATAAACCTACCTCCCACCTGCTCTCCCCCTTTTCATCATGACAGCAGACAAAGGCCACACATAAGCAGAGTATCTTTAATCTATCATACACTTATTTTAAAACAAAAAGCCAATAAAAACAAAATTTATATCTGAGCTAGCAGCATATACAATACTTTAAGAAACTGTACAATACATTTTAGGCTTTTAGTTATATTTTCTACTTCAACGCAACCTGACTATGGCATGTAATAACTGTTTATTTATTCATTTAACCAGTTTACTACTAAATAATCTAAGCACTTAATTATTTTCCTTATTCATTCATATATATGTATATAGGTACAAATATAAATATAGGTATGAATAATCCATCTGGCCTTGATTTGAGCCTGAGGTGAAGTTGCCACATTGAGAAAATGGCCTGATATGGAAAGATAATTTTGGTAGATCTCACGTGTTTTCAGAAAAACATGTATTACAGACATATAAAAATCCTGAGACACTACAAACTAGAAATCTGAAACCAAGAGAACAAATTCAACAATTCACTAAGACATAAAGTGTCTCACTCCTTACATTCTTTCAATCACATCACACAAAATATGATCTCTTCTATTAAAATTCAAATTAGAGAATGATGCTTACATTTTATGAAGCACAGGGACAGGTTTTTAAACTACCTGGGAATTCCTAATCAAATTCACATTTCTGGGGCACTTGGGTGGCTCAGTGGGTTAAAGCCTGTGCCTTCGGCTCAGGTCATGATCTCAGGGTCCTGGGATGGAGCCCTGCATTGCATCGGGCTCTCTGCTCAGCAGGGAGCCTGCTTCCTCCTCTCTCTCTGCCTGGCTCTTCTCTGCCTACTTGTGATCTCTGTCTGTCAAACAAATAAATAAAATCTTAAAAAAAAAAAAATCACATTTCTCTCAGGAAGTAAGTCTTTTCTAAAAGTTGGTTTAAACAGGTGATGGGGATTGAGGAGGGCACTTGTGGTGAGCCCAGCATTTGTAAGTGCTGGATCACTAAATTCTACACCTGAAACTAGTATTACGCTCTATGTTAATTGGAAATGAAATAAAAACAAACAAACAAATAAATAAATGGCTTTGAAAATATTACATGCCACCATTCCATCAAACTATAGATAATGGCAAATTTGTCATCATAGGATTGGTACCTTATAGTGACAAGAAAAAGTATACCCTAAAACTAATCTACAGACAATCTAAAGAAGATACTTAAACAGCAGGCAGAAAAATCTTTATGCTTGCAGAGTTGGGATCCTAGATTTTTAAAGCTGAGGTACAAATATTACAAATATATCTTTTATTTGAAGTCTAATTAAATATATGAAATCAAGCTGGATAGAAAACTAATTAGAGAAGAAGGGCAGATTCTACAGTCATATATAGGTAAAGGGAAGGTATTTGCAAGTATTTCCTGAGATTAGATTTTTTATAAACTTCATATAAGAATTTTAAGATACATTCTGAAGTTGAAAAGCAGAAAAAAATTCTAAATAACATTTAACAGATTTTTCTTCTCCCTTTCACCATTACAGACCTATAACCTAGAAAATATCTAAAACTTTTGTTATAAGCTTTTGACTTTTGTTTTCTGTGAAAAGACTTCTATACAATGTTTATATACTATATTCCTTAGAAGTCTGCTTTTTACTGGTATTTTCATGAAAACATTCTTTTTAAAGGCATATGAAAATGAAATAATCTGTTCATAATTTTCCTAATAATGTAAATAGTCTAGGAAAACTATTTTTTTAATAGTTCTTAAATTTTTAAAAAATATTTGACATATTCTGCTTTATCAAAGCAAAAATTTATATGGAATTTCCATAGCAAGTTAAAAAAAAAAAAAAGATAACAGGTTCTAGGCCTCGGTATTGTCACAGACCAGCTGTGTGACCTTCAAAGAGCAACCATCTCTCTGCACCTTCTTTACTAAAAATTAGGGTGTTGAAATATGATCCAAGATTCTAATGAGTAACTGTCATCCACTACAATTAGATGGCATCTCCTTTAAAAAGCAGCCTCATTTCCAAAGGCATTGTCTTTCCACTTTACAAATGGAAGATAAGAGAGGCGCCTGGGTGGTTCAGTTGTTAAGCATCTGCCTTCAGCTCAAGTCATGATCCCAGGGTCCTGGGATGGAGCCCCACATAGAGCTCCCTGCTCAGCGGGGAGTCTGCTTCTCTCCCTCCTTTTGCTGCCCCCACCCCCACCCCCGCTTGTGCGTGCTCTTTCTGTCAAACAAATAAATAAAATCTTAAAAAAAAAAGGGGAAGGTAACATATCTACAACTGAGAATTTAATAGTTGTTCCCTACTTGCTTTTAGTTACATTTTATTATCTATGCCAATTAATAGAATTCATGAAACAAGTAATAAAAAACAAAAGGTCCACGCTTAAATCAGAATTAATTTTCTCCTATTGCCCTAAACGGCAATGCAATTTTCCACTAACACTTACTGTGCTTCATTTTGAAGTCTGAGATCATTTCTCATTGGAGTAGTCCAGGGAAGATGATTCATTTCTTCTTAACATAATTGTATAGTTTCTATGGATTTACTGTATTTTCACTGTGTTAAACTTTAAGTAGGTTGTTTTGAAATCTGAAGGTTAAAATTCAATTCTAACATTACCTCATGAAACTGTACTGGTTGACAAATCTTTATCTATTATAAAAAGTGACACACTATTGTTTTCTTTTAATTTCCTATTCTGGCCGTGGAAATTTGCCAGGAAAAAGTTAAAACTGTCTTAATTTAAACAGCTTAGAAAATAGAATTTTAATTTTTCATTTTCATTTTACAATGGTAAAAAACACTATTCTACCCAGACCACCTTAATTGGTCCTTCTGTATTCCTTCATTATTTTATAAGTTCTACATTATTGAAAGAGGCTTAATATCAAATATAATCACTTTCTATTTATATTATCCTCATGTAAAGAAAAATTATTTCAAATAAAAAACACCTCATAGACTTAAGTATCTGGCAATATCAAATGCTAGGGAAATGCTCAATAAATCACTGACATTTGAAAAGACTAGTGAATGTTTGTTCCATATAATCTCATCACCAAGAAATCAAAATAAGTGCACTAGAAATCCATTTTAATACATTAAATATTCAAGCATACAGTTTCCATTTAAATTAACAAAAACATATACTAAATTAAATTTACCAAGAAAATTCTATTTATTTTGCTAATATCCATTTAAAAAAAAAACAATCTTCTCTATCATTAAGTGAATTCATGTCTTGTTCAAGAAGCAAATGAAACATACACATTCAACCAAAAATGTAAATCAATTCATCAGAACCCAATGTCACTCTCAATTATTACAAAATTATTATTTTTTTTTTCCCCAAAACAGAGGCATCCTTAAATAAAAGACTAATCACTACTATTTGGAAAGATGATCCTGAGCCAACACAATCTTTTTTTATGCTGTAATGTCTGAAATTATTTTACTTTATTGTATTAATACACAGAAAAGCATAATAAAATACTTTTTATATTTATATAAAAAGACATTTATATGATTAATACTTTATAAAAATCAGTTTAACAACAACAAAAAGCAACATTTTTGGTAGCTATCAAGTTTAGAATAAAGGAGCACCAACTGCTACAGACACTTCACATATAAAAACAATGTCATTTCCTAAAAGTCCTGGTTAAAGTTATTGCAAAGATCAAAAGATCAGGATCACCTAACTTAAAAGTTCATAAGCAAACACTAAATTAAAATGTACATAAACATCACACAGAGAAGGAACCCCAAGGGGGAAAAAAAAAAAAATCTTGCCTCCTGGTTTATATTTTGCTTAATTTTACCCTTTAGAATTAGTGCTATCACTTTTTACTGGCTTCTTAGGATCCCCTTTCCTAAAGGGCAACTTATCTTCAATGGACTGGGTTCAAGAAAGTTATTATGGACTGTGAATTTAAAGAATTATGAAGAGCTGTCAAATCACAGCAAAGGTCAGAAACAACATGGCAAGATCAAGACTAGTATTTGAAATATATTACCTGTTCCAAGTTTTGAAGGCATTGCTGGCTCGTTTGAATAGATATCCTTCCATAACAATGCCATTTGCAGCATCTACATTATATTCTAACTTAGAATCATCACTGGAGAAATCCTAAACGAAATAAAAAAGTTCATATGATTTGATTAAGTCTCCTACACAAATAATTTATTGTAGAGAAACAGCTCAAGCCAGAAAAAGCTTTGTATTAAACAGAAAAGCTTTGTATTAAAACAGCTGTATTAACAATATTCATAAGAAAAGAGGAGACCTAATGTTAGATAATAGAAGAATGCTTCAACATATTAAGGTATTTCAATTCAATGGCGTGTTATGCAATAATTATTATAATGACAATATTAAAGCACAGATGATTACATAGAATATATTCTGAAAGAGAAAACAATATGTTATATGCACAGTGATTAAAGGCACAAAATATTATGTATACAAATAGACAAAAGGAGCAAATAAATACTATGCATGTTATGTTTAAAATGTTTCCATTTCACCCTAATATTATATTATGATGTGTGTGCTAACAAAAAAAAGGAATATAGATATATTTAAATTGGGATTACTTAAATCTACTACTATTCTCTGAGTATATTACTATTGTGGTAGTTTTTTAAGTTGGTAGAGCATGCAACTCTTGATCTCAAGGTAGTGAGTTAGAGCCCCATGTTGGGTGGAGAGATCATTTAAAAATAAAAAATCTGGGGCGCCTGGGTGGTTCAGTGGGTTAAGCCTCTGCCTTCGGCTCAGGTCATGATCCCAGGATCATGGGATCGAGCCCCGCATTGGGCTCTCTGCTCAGCAGGGAGCCTGCTTCCCCTTCCTCTTCTGCTTGCTTCTCTGCCTACTTGGGGTCTCTTTCTATCTGTCAAATACATAAATAAAATCTTTTAAAAAAATAACAAAAATAATTAAAAAAATAAAAAAATAAAAAATCTTGGGGCACTGGATGACTCAGTTGGTTAAGCTTCTGCCTTCAGCTCAGGTCATGATCCCAGGGTCCTGGGATGGAGCCCACATTGGGCTCCCAGCTCAACAGGGAGTCTGCTTGGGCTTCTCCCCCTCCCTCTGGGTCTCCCCACCAATTCATACTCTCTCTCATGCGGTCTCTCTCTCAAATAAATAAATTTAAAAAATAAAAAATAAAATATTTCTTGATGAACTTACAAATAATTTGTACAAACTGAAAGACTGCGGCTATTCCCAATTTTAAAACTCTAAAAATCAGTCTCAGAACTTTCAAAATTACTTCTGGGCCAATAATCAAAGTTAGAATATTATCCTTTTAGAGAATAGCAAACTCTGTCTTGAGAAAGATTTTGGCAGAAGCTACATGACCATCTGCCAAGAATGCTGGGATGTGAGGGTCCTCCCCTAGAGGGGAGGCAGAGTGAGAATCCACCGAGGGGCCTTCCAAATCTAAGAGTCTCAAAGATGGAATATGGAAACAGACTAAATTCAGAAAAACAAAATTTATTAAAAACCAAAACTCTGCCGACAGCTCTCAAAATTCAACCATAAAAAACATGCTAATCCAAAATAATCAAATGAAACAGAATTTATAAACGAATTGCTACACTTTATCCTTTTTCTTAAAAAAAAAATCAGGAAAACTTTAATTCCCTCAATTAAAATTTATTTGAAGCTGTAATTTATTTAATTATGCACACAGGATTATGTAACCAATTGATTTAACTGAATTTGCAAAATTCTAAAGGTTTCATTTATAACACTGGAAGTTTTTTAATTACTCTGATGCTACTTAAAACATTAAAATATAACCTCCTGGAAGTACAGTGCATTTATAAGTATTTTTCTAATTTTCAACTACATTTCCTGAGATAGGTTAAGTCTTTAATTTATTGTTAGTATCAATTAATATAGTATTTAAAATGTGAAAGATTATATGATTTTATAATGAAAGTAGTAACAATGCCTAAAATATATAATATTATAATTTAAATATATTGATACCTGACAAATCAGGAAGGAATACCCAAAGGCCAAAGGCCAAAGGTTAAGTGAAAGTAGGAGGCTTGAACAGGTAAGCAGATGAAGGAAGCCAGATTTCACCTTAAGGGCATTTCCCTCATCAGAATTTGAAGCTTTTTGGTGGGAGGCCCAGGGAAGAGAAGGCAAGACTAAGATAGCCAATAAAGAGAGTTTAACAGAAGCTTTCCTTTCTGAAATTGTAACCAAGACAAGAACGACCATTATCACTTCAAGATTATATTAGAAGTTCTAGGGGCACCTGGGTGGCTCAGTCAGTTAAGCAGCTGCCTTTGGCTCAGGTCATGTTCCAAGCCCCGCATCGGACTCCCTACTCAGCAGAGAGCCTGTTTCTCCCTCTCCCTGCTGCTCTGCCTACTTATGCTATCTTTCTGTCAAATAAATAAATAAAATCTTTTAAAAAAAAGAAGAAGAAGAAGTCCTAGCCAACAAAATAAACAAGAAGTAAGGAAAGAATTGGAATCAGAAAGGAAGAAATTATTATTTGCAGATGTTATGAGTTTGCACAAAAAACATCCAAAAAGGGGCGCCTGGGTGGCTCAGCGGGTTAAAGCCTCTGCCTTCAGCTCAGGTCATGATCCCAGGGTCCTGGGATCAAGCCCCACATCGGGATCTCTGCTTGGCGGGAAGCCTGCTTCCTCCTCTCTCTCTGCCTGCCTCTCTACTTGTGATTTCTGTCAAAAAAATAAAATCTTTAAAAAAAAAAAAATCCAAAAGAACCCAGAGATAAATTAACATTAAAGAGAGCACAACAAGAAAACTGGTTTCAAAGTTAATACAGAAAAATCAATTTTACTCTAATATGTAATATAAGTAAACAGTGAAGGGGGTCTGGGTGGCTCAGTTGGTTAAGCATCTGCCTTCTGCTCAGGTCATGATCCCAGGGTCCTGGGACTGAGCCCTGCATCGGCTCCCTGCTCAACAGGAAGCCTGCTTCTCCCTCTCCCACTCCCACTCCCCCTGCTTGTGTTCCCTCTCTTCCTGTCTCTCTCTGTCAAATAAATAAATAAAATCTTAAAAAAATAAAAGTAAATAAAAGTAAACAGTGAGAGAAGAAAATTTTATAAGACAACATTTACAATAGCATTTGCAATATAGCTATCTAGGAATAAGTTTAACAAAAGATGTAGAAGAAAATATCAAGCTTATAAAGTACCTTAAAGAAAATTTAAAGAAATAAATATTTCAAGTTCTCAGATTAGAAGACATTATAAAATAAAGATAACAATTCTTCCCCATATTGATTCGCAGGTCCAATAAAATCAATCAAAATCCCAAAAGCTATTTGTATGCAACCTGAAAATCTGCTCCTGAAATTTATATAAGAATGGAAAATATAGGCAATTCACTTTTGAAGCAGAGAACCTAAGAGGCTTTGCTTTGTCATATATCAAGATACACTATAAAGCTAAAATAATTAAAGCAGCATAGTATTGGCACAATTAAGACAAAAGGCCAATGAAAAGAACTGAAAGTCTGAAACAGACTTCACATGTATGCAAACATGATGTAAATCAGAAGTTATAACAGAGTAGTAGGAAAGAACACATTTTTAGTAACTGATTCTGAGTCATCTAAATACCAGTATAAGAATACAAGGAAACTGAATCTCTACCTCACACCATACACAATCACATACAGAAGGATTTAAGGTCTAAACATAAAAAGGTAAATCTATAAATACTCAGAAGATTATACAGGAGATACATCTTCATGATCTTGGGATAAGAAGGACTTACTAAACAAGACACAAAAAGTACCAAACACATAAGACATTAAAAAAAAAAAAAAATGGGGCACCTGGGTGGCTCAGTGGGTTCAAGCCTCTGCCTTCAGCTCAGGTCCTGATCTTAGGGTCCTGGGATCGAGCCCCACATCGGGCTCTCTGATCAGCAGGAAGCCTGCTTCCTCCTCTCTCTCTTTGCCTGCCTCTCTGCCTACTTGTGATCTCTATCTATCAAATAAATAAATAAAATCTTTAAAAAAAAAAACAAAAAAAACCTATGTGAAAATTAAAAACACATATATCCCCCCAAAAAGGCTTATACCCAGATGATATGAAGAATCTTATCAACAGTTAGGCAACCTGATGGAAAAATGGAAGAAAAACTAGCAGACATTTGACAAACAGGATATCCAAATGACCAAAAGGCAGAAGAAAAGGTACTTGAGCTAATTAGCAACTAAAGCATAAATTAAAACCACAAAGAGATATCAGTATCTACCCACCAAAATTAGCAAAAATTAAAAACTCTCACAATACCATCAGGTGGCAAGGAACACTGAGAACTCTCACACAGTGCTATCAAGAATGGTAATATCATTCTGAAACGTAATTTAGCATTATCTACTAATACTGAACATATATATACCCTCTGAACCACCAGTTTTACTCCTAGATATAAATCTACCAAATATACACATATCCAAAAGGCATGTACATGAGTGTGCATAGATAGCATCATTGTTTCTTTAGTTGATCAATTTCAATTCGTGAAAAATGTAAATAATTACATTAGGCACATTAGACATACTTTCCCTTAATTTTTATGTGACCAAAACATTTTCTTTTCCTTTTTTTTTCTTTTTATTTTTTTATTTATTTATTTTTTACCTGTAATGCAGCCTTATGTCAGCATTTAAGGGCAAAAAAAAAAAAAAAAAAAAAAAAAAAAAAGCAAAAAATAGCATTACTTTCTATACAGCAGTAACTATTATTTAAAATCAAGTAAGTTAATCTTAGATTTAATAATCTACTACTTTTGGATCTTCAGTAAAACACTGAGCTGTATATACAACAGGGAAAGATATTAAAAGATACATAATATTCATTAATTCAGTTTAAGCAGTCACAAGTTTCTAAAAATAACATGATCTCTCATTTTAATTAGAAATGACTGGTCCCAATTTTTAAGTCTTTCCATGGTAATGTCATTAACATGAGTTACCCAACCAAAATGAGTCTAACTTTAACTTTAAACAAAACAAAACAGGGAGTTAGTGTTACCTAACTATAACTGGAAATAACTAAATTAAAGATGATCCAGTAGAAAATCTTTCCCTTAATAAATAATGTTTCTCTTTGGATATTAATAGCCCACCACCAATAAAATTTTCCTTACTTGTATTACTGACTTCACTTGAATTTTTTTTCTACTGACATCTTTTATGCCAGGCTAGTTCACAGGTATTTTAAATTCTAAAAAAACCATGATGAAAGTTGATCTGACTGGTCAGTACCACAGGAACAGATTTCTTAATGCAATGCTAGAAGGCATCTTTTTTTTTTTTTTTTAGGGGAACAACATGAATAAGGTGCCCCACTATTACAAATTATGCAGTCACGTTTCCCACATTTGGGGAAATTCTAAGAGTCAGCACATTTGGAGTCAATGGATAAGCCTCACCCTGGGAAAACCACTTTTGTGATCATGATATCTTCTCCCCTGACAGGTTAAGTACAGAAGACATCTTGTCACATACTTTTATTAGATTCAACCTCCAATTCTCTCCTTTTATTTTCAGATTACCACACAAAAATATCACTGACTATGTAAAACAAAATATTATTAGGTTGAGTTCCACATTAGTTGTATTCAAAGCTCTTCACACACAAAAGTAAAAATATGTCAGATTAAATTTTCATTTTAAAAATACATTTTTCAAATTGTTTAGCTAAGCTTGGGCAAATTAACAAGAAATGCATGTGAAATGCCATTACCACATGAGAGAGGGCAAGGGCTGCCTTAGAGTAACTATAGCTGTTAAGTCCACTATACTACACAACCACATTGATACAAAGATGTTCTCCACCACCCCCTCTGCTTGTCCCCCCCCAAACCCAAACCCTACCCCCTCTTACTCACACGCTTTACAGAGTTTGGTGATCTCCTAACTGAAACTCTAAATAGCAGTTTAGAGTCTAAGGGCCATTTTTTAATTAGCTAAGATCCTATGAGATTGGGGTGCCTGTGTGGCTCAGTTGGTTAAGCATCTGCCTTTGGCTCAAGTCATAATCTTATAGTCCTGGGATGGAGCCCTGCTCAGTAGGGAGTCTGCTTCTCCCTCTCTCTCTGTTCCTCCCCTCTGCTCATGCCCTTTCTCTCCCTCTCTCTCTCTCAAATAAATAATAAATAATCTTTTAAAAGAAAATCTTTTGAGATTAATGTTTTTGCAAAGTGGTTCAAAAACATGGCTTTCGGGCGCCTGGGTGGCTCAGTGGGTTAAAGCCTCTGCCTTCAGCTCAGGTCCCGATCTCAGGGTCCTGGGATTGAGACCCGCATCGGGCTCTGTGCTCAGCATGGAGCCTGCCTCCCACCCCCCTCTCTCTGCCTGCCTCTCTATCTACTTGTGATCTCTATCAAATAAATAAATAAAATGTTTAAAAAAAAAAAAAAACATGGCTTTCAAATACTGCCTGATCATCTAAAAAATATTTTACTTTTCACAAAAAAAGGAGGAATTTATCTACCAAGTTCAATTACTATAGCAACTTAAAGGATTTGTTCCAACACAATTGTATCTTGCTAAAACCAGTAATTGAACAATTCTATAAAATGGGAATTACTCTCCTTTAACTTTTCTTATCAAGTACCTTTTGCTGAATGGTAGAATGTTTTTGCTCCATCTCTCTTTTCTCCTTTGCTGCATCCACAACCAGTCGATCCAGCTATAAAGGCAATAAGGGAGAAAATTAGCCAACTTAAAAATTAAAGAAAAGGTATGATCATTTTTAAAAACATACTCTCAGTAAGTCAGCCAATGTAAGTTTACTTAAAAAGGCATTTTTACTACAACTTTAAAATGGAAGTTCTTTTTCCTCTGCTATGAAATCCTTTTTAAGAAGGTCTATAACTCCTCTAGGAAAAACATTTCTAAGAACAGTTGTGGTGCCAAACAAACATGACAGGAGGCCTTGTCAAGGACACAACAGTGATAAAATGAACTCCTAGAATAAGGAAGAGAACTCTAGCGTAAGTTGCCTGCTGACTCCTGCAATTTCAGTAGTCAGAATCAAAGGCAGAAAGAAGATACCCTGGTGACTTTTTCCCCAAATAGCAAAAAGTAGCAGCTACACTAGTGTGGGGCCAGCTCTCCTAAGTTCAACAGAACAGACACTTCCAATCAATCACTCAAAATGCTTCATGTTTTCAAGTTGGCTTCTTAATGTAATAATCAAATCTAAAAGGCAAAGAAACAAAAACAACAACTCACCAGATAAGAGAGAGCTAAATAATAAAATTTTTTAGGGGTACCTGGGTGGCTCAGTGGGTTAAAGCCTCTGCCTTCAGCTCAGGTCATGATCCCAGGGTCCTGGGATGGAGCCCAGCATCGGGCTCTCTGCTCAGCAGGGAGCCTGCTGCCCCCTCTCTCTCTGCCTGCCTCTCTGCCTACTTGTGATCTCTGTCTGTCAAATAAATAAACAAAATCTTTAAAAAATAAAATAAAAAATTTTTAAAAGTAATAATAGTAATCATTTGTAAGGCCAGGGTATAAAATTGCCATTGTTTAAGCTTCTGTTTTAAAAGCTCAAAAAACTTATGAAATCGTAACTCTCATTCTTTCTTGTTCCTTTCTAACAGAAAAGATGATTTCCCAATACTATGACAAATGCCCTGGCTCCTTGAACTACTCTTTGCTGGAATAACAAACAATTGGTTATAAATTATATGAGTCTACTCTTCTAGACTATGATGCATGTCATTTTATCTGATTAATGTGGGATAAATGAAAAAAATTTTTAAATGTAAATATCAATAGGAATAAGGAGAAAGATAAAGTATTAAATGAATAAATGTTTTCATTGCTATTCTTTATAAAACAAAATTTTAAAAAGACTTTGGAAAAAAAACATTTGGTCCTTTATTTACTCTCTATTACAAATGATGGGTTTTTTTTTTTCCCCTACCAGAGAATAATTTGGGCCACAGAATTTTTTTTTTTTTTCTTAATTAAAAAAAATTTTGTAGGGGCACCTGTGTGGCTCAGTTGGTTAAGGCTCAGGTCATGATTCCTTCAGCTCAGGTCATGATCCCAGGGTCCTAGGATCAAATCCCACATCAGGCTCCCTGCTCAGCAGGGAATCTGCTTCTCCCTCTCCTCTCCCCCTGCTTGTGCTCTCTCTCTCTCCCCCAAGTAAATAAATTTAAAAAAAAATTTTTTTTAAGGTTTTATTTAAATCCTAGATAGTTAACACGTAGTATAATATTAGTTGCAGGTATACAATTGGCCACAGAATCTTAGTTATCATTGAATATTAATAAAGAACCAAAAGAAAACAGCCTGAAACAAATGTAGCACTATTATAAATATTTGATTTAGATGGCAACTATACTACTACCCTTGAAGATCCAATGCATACATGCCTTAGTAACGTGTAACATTGATTTAATGGGTAATGCTCATACATGCTGCACTAGGAAAATGCCCTCAATATTTTCTTATACTGAATGAGTCAATAACCATTATACCATGAGTTTATATCCTTTAATTGAATGGCATATAAGTATTATTTATCCATTCAGATTGAAGTAAGGTACAGGCAGACCCCAAGATTCAACTAATATTTATAAACTTGTGTGCAGGTACCTTCTACACTAGTACTGCAATGCAAGTGATGGTTTTCTGCCTGCTGGACTGGTAGTAAATTCCTCTGCTACATCCCACCTCACTCCTATTACAGCAGAAAAGAGTGAAAATTCACTTCTCTCTGTTGGGGCAGAAGTATAAAGAAAAAAATGTCTCAAGATGGTGGAGGGTTGGAGAAGGTACAAACTGAGGAGATGTGAAGACTGACAGTCTTGTCTCCTACATACTGGGACTGTATCAGGAAGAATATGGAGCATAGCACAATATGGCCCAGGCTTCTATTAGTGCTGGACATTAGGAGTTTCACAGGTACCTATAACCAGCCAGGTGCCCTAGTCCCCTGTGTTTGGAATCCTCTCTACTCCTACCATATCAGACATCATCACTTCTCTCTCCACTTTTTGATTTCTCCCATTTCCATCTGCTTATATATTTGTGCAAATCCTACTACCTTAAATAAAACCTTCCTCCAACTCATACTCCTCTCTAGCCCTCTCTTTCCTTCGTATCACAACTTCTGGAAAAATCTTCCCTGTTCTTCACTGGTCTATTTCGTATTTATCTACCCATTATCGTTTAGCTTCTGCAACTCAGACCCTCTGCTCTCACAAAGGTAAATAATCTTCTTGCTGCTAAACCCAATGTATAGTTCTCAGTCCTAGGTTTACTGGACCTTCTTTCCAATATTTGTATTGATAATTATCCTCTCCTTTTTGAAACACTCTCCTTGGCCCATGGTAACACCATTTCCCAGTTTTCCACCTCCTCTCTCATCTGTGTTTTAATGAAGATCCTCTTACCTAACCACATCTTAAAACTATGTCATTCTTAGGGCCCTGTTTGAAGCCAGACTCTCTTTTTACTCTATACTAGTGGCCTTTGATATTAACTTACAAAATCAAAATCTTTAAGCATACCATTCCAGCACTCACATTTTTCAAAAATAGCTTTGGAAACACTAAAATGATTTTGGGATACCTATTAACTCTCCTTGAGTCAATTCACCCATTCTTGTGGTTACAATAAATAATTATATGCTACTGACTCCTTTAACCTCATTTTTGAGGGGGGGGGCCTCCAGATACACCCATTTAGATGTCCTATCATCAAAATTTAACATATTTAAACTTCAACTCATCATGTCCCTCTACCTTCAAATTGGCTATTCCTTAAATATCCCTCAAGTCTATTTGTTTCTATCTCTATTGCCATGTTCCTAGTTCCAGATCCAGTTATCTCATAACTGAATTATTGAAAGGATATCTGAACTGGCCACCTCCAATCAGGCTATATTTTCCAAAAGGCACCAGAGCTTAGATGCTTTTCAAGGACCTGAAAAATTATGTGAGAATTGAGAGGGGAAAGCTGTAAAACCAAAATTAATAAATGTCTAAAGTATGAAATTATTTAAACTACTCAACTACAATCTAATTCATTTGTTTATAAATTACATTTAATGTAGGATGAGGGTGCAACATAATGCTTCACAGAATGTGTGGTGTGCCTAGAGCCTAGGAAGATCTTGCCTTCCTCCCAAGTCTAGGTTACAGGTCCTAGCTGTCCTAACAGGTCCTTTGAAACTCTGCTATATGGTAAAGACTATCCCCCAATAACCATTCTCTCTTTCTTTCTTAACAAGACAGTACTCAAATTCTAGTAGGTCACATGCTTATCTGGCATTAAGTTTTTAATTCCCAGCTTTCCTTGCAGCCAGTATGACACTGGGATGTACACAGAAGTGGACTCTATAAATTCCAGGAGACATCCATAAAGAGAATGCATCTTTCTCCCTTTCCTCTTTCCTGTAAGCTAGAATGTGGGTATGGTGACTAAAGCTTGATCAGCCACTTTGAACCATGAAGTAGAATAAAAAAATGTAAGCCTGCATCCCTGCAAACCAAGTGACCATAATACCACGCCTTTGACTTTATGTAGAGAAATAAAATTCCATCTTGTTGAAGCTACTAGTATTTCAAGGTTTCCTTGTATTGCACACCAACAAACAAGTTCTCATTTTATATACCCAGACAGAACACTGATCACACAGAGTGTTAGTCTGGTGACTTGTTGGTCTCCTAATAGATTAGGTTCTACAGAGTCAGGGAACAGTATCTCTGTAACTCATGGCATATGCCCTGCACACCATCCCAACAAACACACACATGTACACACATGTGTATGCACCATATTTACTTTTGGTCAACGAATGCACTTCTCTTACAGTCTTACCTTTTTCCTCATTTCCCTAAACTCTATTCTTCAACCTTAATCCCCTGTCCTCAAAAGGTAATATAAACCTACACAGGGGGGGAATAATCACCTAAAAATTGGTATTATTAAATCCAAAAAGCTCACCAATCAACAAAAAAGAATGTCCCAGAACAAATCAAATATATAGTTCTGCTCAGTTATCAAAAATAATTTGAATATAATGAACTTTCTATATAATACTGTGATATATGTATAATTCACGTATGTGCATATATATAAAAAATAAAAAAGATACCAAGAGTTCCATAAGCTTAAGATTCTAAAGTTTTATTATTCAAAATAGCAAAATATACATTTTTTAGAAAATAAAGAGTATAACTCAAATGAAAAATCAATAGACTTTCATTTATCCAAATGTAAGAAATGAAAAAATAAATCCAGCTATGTGTACTACAAAACAGACCCTTTGTTTTTAATTTTTCCTTTCAACACCCTCATATACTGTCTATAACATATTTTTAACTTCAATCTTCTTTTTGGTTACACATTTAACCTACACATAAATATTCCACGGCATCAAACTTCTTCATTAAATAAATGAAATGTCAAATTCCCCAATATGCTAAATCTCTTTCTTTTTCCCAACATGCTAAACTTCTTTAAAAGTACAGACATCAGAACAAAGGCAACAAAACCAAAAATAAACAAGTGGGACCACATCAAACCAAAAAACTTCTGCAATGGAAACAATCAACAAAATGAAAAGGCAACCCACCAAATGGCAGAAAATATTTGCAAATCATGTATCATATACCATATAAAGAACTCGTACAACTTTATGGGGCGCCTGGGTGGCTCAGTGGGTTAAAG